GTTCTACAGTTTGAACCCCTGCTGTCTCTGGCTCCACATCCACCCCGCCCGGCCATCTAGATGTGTGAAAGTTAGTGTATAAGCTAATGATCCATCATGTATGACATTCCTGGGAGTGTGTAAACTTACATTTTGTATTACCATGTCATTTTTGTATGTTCTCTATAGTTATATATATATATATATATATATATATATATATATATATATATATAGTTATGTACTTGAAAATGTATCAATTGACCAATTCGGCACATTTGGGCAGACTTGATACAAAATAGTCCACTGGATCAATCTGAAACTTTGCACACACACTGCTTCCATCTAGTGGCCAAAATCTACATTGCGCCTAAACTGAAATATTTTATTGTGGCCTTTCTTGCATTTCAAAGATGATAAAAAATAAATAAATAAAAAACGCATGTTTTTTTGTTTGTATTATCTTTTACCAGATCTAATGTGTTATATTCTCCTACATTAATTTCACATTTACACAAACTTCAAAGTGTTTCCTTTCAAATGGTATCAAGAATATGCATATCCTTGCTTCAGGTCCTGAGCTACAGGCAGTTAGATTTGGGTATGTCATTTTAGGGGAAAATTGAAAAAAAGGGTCAGATCCTTAAGAGGTTAACAAGTGACATCAATAATGTTTTGTACACTCAGTGTATTAAAGGGCACTATATTTAATAAAGCAGGCTTTTAAATTTCAACATTGGTGCAACATTTCTACTTAAAATATCCGAAAGAATATCAGGCAATATTTCCCCCTTGCTGTGGCAAATCCTCAACAGGCAAGAAACACAGACCCAAGACATATCTGGTCAGATTTATCACACTTAGTAGATATGAAGTAACTAATGCTGTTTATTCATTTCTTCACTTGTTTGAAGATTAATAGCACAGTCATAAATAACGAGTTTCTTTCTAATATACCAAATGTAATGTGCAAGATACCCCAGAGTTGCAGAAAATGCAAGTACTATACATTTGAGTTTACTTGGTACAAAGGTGACGAAACTGGTCATAGAACTTAGCAGCACAACGAACCGTATACCATATATTTATCCTATTATTATCCTATAAGGAAAATAACTGATGTTTGTAAAGTTGAAAAAAATTGATTCATTTCAAACTCAGTAGCCTGAACTACAAATACTGTACAATACGAGTGAAAAACCCTACTACTGACTTAGATCATAGGAAGTCAAAACAGGTCCCATCTGTAAAACAAAAGTGTCTTCATGTCAATACTTATGGTGTGTGCAGAGCCCGTAGTCTAGCGGTAGACCCCAGGATCTAGACACATACAGTGCCTTGCAAAAGTATTCATCCCCCTTGGCGTTTTTCCGATTTTGTTGCATTACAACCTGTAATTTAAATGTATTTTTATTTGGATTTCATGTAATGGACATACACAAAATAGTCCAAATTGGTTAAGTGAAATGAAAAAAATAACTGATGCGTGCATATGTATTCACCCCCTTTGCTATGAAGCCCCTAAATAAGATCTGGTGCAACCAATTACCTTCAGAAGTCACATAATTACTTAAATAAAGTCCACCTGTATGCAATCTAAGTGTCACATGATCTGTCACATGATTTCAGTATATATATACACCTGTTCTGAAATTCCCGAGGAGTCTGCAACACCACTGAGCAAGGGGCACCACCAAGCAAGCGGCACCATGAAGACCAAGGAGCTCTCCAAACAGGTCAGGGACAAAGTTGTGGAGAAGTACAGATCAGGGTTGGGTTATAAAAAAAATATCTGAAACTATGAACATCCCATAGAGCACCATTAAATCCATTATTAAAGAATTTCAAGAATATTGCACCACAACAAACCTGCCAAGAGAGGTCCGCCCACTAAAACTCACGGAGGGCATTAATTAGAGAGGGCATTAATTAGAGAGGCAACAAAGAGACCAAAGATAACCCTGATGGAGCTGCAAAGCTCCACAGCGGAGATTGGAGTATCTGGCCATAGGACCACTTTAAGCCGTACACTCCACAGAGCTGGGCTTTATGGAAGAGTGGCCAGAAAAAAGCCATTGCTTAAAGAAAAAAATAAGCAAACACATTTGGTGTTCCCCAAACATATGGAAGAAGGTACTCTGGTCAGATGAGACTAAAATTTAGCTTTTTGGCCATCAAGGAAAACGCTATGTCTGGCGCAAACCCAACACCTCTCATCACCCCGAGAACACCATCCCCACAGTGAAGCATGGTGGTGGCAGCATCATGCTGTGGGGATGTTTTCATTGGCAGGGACTGGGAAACTGGTCAGAATTGAAGGAATGATGGATGGCGCTAAATACAGGGAAATTCTTGAGGGAAACCTGTTTCAGTATTCCAGAGATTTGAGACTGGGGCTGAGGTTCACCTTCCAGCAGGACAATGACCCTAAGCATACTGCTAAAGCAACATTCGCGTGGTTTAAGGAAAACTTTTAAAAGTCTTGGAATGGCCTAGTCAAAGCCCAGGCCTCAATCCAATTGAGAATCTGTGGTATGACTTAAAGATTGCTGTACACCAGCGGAAACCATCCAACTTGAAGGAGCTGGAGCAGTTTTGCCTTGAAGAATGGGCAAAAATCCCAGTGACTAGATGTGCCAAGCTTATAGAGACATACCCCAAGAGACTTGCAGCTGTAATTGCTGCAAAAGGTGTCTCTACAAAGTATTGACTTTGGGGAGATGAATAGTTATTCACGCTCAAGTTTTCAGTTTTTTTGTCATATTTCTTGTTTGTTTCACAAGAAAAAACATTTTGCATCTTCAAAGTGGTAGGCATGTTGTGTAAATCAAATGATACAACCCCCCCCAAAATCCATATTCATTCCAGGTTCTAAGGCAACAAAATAGGAAAAATGCCAAGGGGGTGAATACTTTCGCAAGGCCTCCCCACCGCAGACCGGGGTTCATTCTTCACTCTAAGGGCTCGATTCAATCCGTAATGCCGAAGTTCAGCGCTATAGCGCAATTTTAATTTAAAGGCAATGTTCCCGCCTTTGCGGAGACTGCATCCACGGTTAACGCTGCATATGTCGCCTCAATTGGAAATGACCTTAACATTTCAAGCGAACTATAGCGCTGATTGAATCTAGCCCTAAAACGTCAAAGGAGCCCTAAAACGTCATACTGTTTCTCCCATCTCTCTGTCTACCCCTCTGTGATTTCACAACTGTCTAAATAAAATACTGAATGGCATTATGCCTGTTGTTTTATTGTGTTTTACTGAATCAGCTTGACCCTGTATACAGTGCATTTGGAAAGTATTAAACCGCTTGACTTTTTCCACATTTCGTTACATTACAGCCATGTTCTAAAATGGATTAAATTATTTCCCCCCCCTCATAAATCTACACACAATACCCCATAATGACAAAGTGAAAACAGGTTTTTAGACATTTTTGCAAATGTATTAAAAATAAAAAACAGAGATACCTTATTTACATAAATATTCAGACCCTTTGCTATGAGACTCGAAAGTGAGCTCAGGTGCATCCTGTTTCCATTGATCATCCTTGAGATGTTTCTACAACTTGATTGGAGTCCACCTGCGGTAAATTTAATTTATTGGACATGATTTGGAAAGGCACGCACCTGTCTATATAAAGGTCCCACAGTTGACAGTGCATGTCAGAGCAAAAACCAAGCCATGAGGTTGAAGGAATTGTCTGTAGAGCTCCGAGACAGAATTGTTTCGAGCCACAGATCTGGGGAAGGGTACCAAAAAATGTCTGCAGCATTGAAGGTCCCCAAAAACACAGTGGCCTCCATCATTCTTAAATGGAAGAAGTTTGGAACCACCAAGACTTTTCCTAGAGCTGGCCGCCCGGCCAAATTGAGCAATCAGGGGAGAAGGGCCTTGGTCAGGGAGGTGACCAAGAACCTGATGGTCACTCTGACAGAGTTCCAGAGTTCCTCTATGAAGATGGGAGAACCTTCCAGAAGGACAACAATCTCTGCAGCACTCCACCAATCAGGCCTTTATGGTAGAGTGGCCAGACGGAAGCCACTCCTCAGTAAAAGTCACATGACAGCCCGCTTGGGGTTTGCCAAAAGGCACCAAAAGGACTCTCAGACCATGAGAAACAAGATTCTCTGGTCTGATGAAACCAAGATTTAACTCTTTGGCCTGAATGCCAAGCATCACGTCTGGAGGAAACCTTGCACCATCCCTACGGTGAAGCATGGTGGTAGCAGCATCATGCTGTGGGGATGTTTTTCAATGGCAGGGACTGGGAGACTAATAAGGATCGAGGGAATGATGAACGGAACAAAGTACAGAGAGAACCTTGATGAAAAACTGCTCCAGAGTGCTCAGGACCTCAGACTGGGGCGAAGGTTCACCTTCCAACCGGACAACGACCCTAAGCACACAGCCAAGACAACGCAGGAGTGGCTTCGGGACAAGTCTCTGAATGTCCTTGAGTGGCCCAGCCAGAGCCCGGACTTGAACCCGATCGAACATCTCTGGAGAGACTTGAAAATTGCTGTGCAGCTGCGCTCCCAATCTAACCTGACAGAGATTGAGGATCTGCAGAGAAGAATGGGAGAAACTCCCCAAACACAGGTGTGCCAAGCTTGTAGCGGCATACCCCATAATATTTCCGTTTTTATTTTTTATAAATTTGCAAAGATTTCTAAAAACCTGTTTTTTCTTTGTCGTTATGGGGTATTCTGTGTAGATTGATGAGGGGGAAAAATCAATTCAATCAATTTTAGAATAAGGCTGTGACGTAACAAAATGTGGAAAAAGTAAAGGGGTCTGAATACGCTTTACCTGTATGTGCCCCATGTGACAACACATGCAATGACACATCCAGATGCTATCCAGCTAGAACATTTGGTTCCTTGGAAGTTGTGGGAATGTCTGTTTTTGGTTTTAAATTGGTTCTTGGAAATTGAGTATATTCTGTATAGAATGATCATGGTACAGCAGACCATTTTAGAACCAGTTCCATTGAAAACCTCAATGTAGCTCCTTGTTCACTGATTTTGCAGATACTGGGCAGAGAACGCCTCCAGCTGAGACTCCAGATCTGTGGCTCGGTGTCTGTGGGAAACAGAAGATTTATCACTCATCTGTTACTTTCTAACTTTTCATCTCAGCAGTGTGTAGTGAAGTGTGTGTGTGTGTACAATGTGTGCAGAAAGCCCTACTAACAGACATTAAAAAGCTGAGATGAACAAAGCAAGGTAGAGTGGCTATTTGACCTGAGCGTCTTGGAGCGTCGCTGGACGTTCTCCAGTCTCTGGATCCTGCCGCTCAATTGTCGGATGTGCCCCTCCAGCTCCACCTCGCTCAGGTCAACCCGCTGGCACAGACGGGCAAAGGTCGTTGCCAACTCCCTGCCACAGCCAAAAGGTCAGGTTAGGAGGGCATGAGAGTTGGAAAATACACATACAGTACTGTACATGTAACAGTATAGCTTCTGTCTCTGTTCTGGCCCGAGCTGGGCGCAAACCATAGACCCTCATCACCCACAAAGCAACATTCTAACCAACTGCTCTACAAAAAACATGGTCTTGGTTGAGCAAGGGTGACACGATCTCTAGGTCAAAGAGAGGATGACATCACTTGGAAGATTGCCACTACTAGCGCATACCTAATTAGCGAGTGATTCCACATTGTGGCTACATAGGCTACACGTGACAGTATAACTGTAAAATAACCACAGTTAAAAGCAAAATTACTGCACTGTATACAGCACCCTGTAGTAACCCTGCAGTTACAAAAGTATCTGTAATTTTTTTAGATGCAGTAGTATAACTGCAATGTACTGCACTGTCACTGCAATTATTTTTGCAAGGTTAGTACTCTACTCACCATACACTAGTGCTGAGCGATTCATGCTTTTTGAGGTCGATTTGGTTTCGATTCGATTATAAATAATCACGGTTTTCATTGTAAGGTTAGTATTCTACTCACCATACACTAGTGCTGAGCGATTAATGCTTTTCGAGGTCAATTTGCAGCAATGCAGCTGCAATGAATGAGTAGGAAAGTGAATAAATAGGCTTGCATTGTTATTATTAGTGGCTTGGGTCTTTTTTAATATCGAGGAATATTTAATTTTCCCCGGTCATAGGAGTAATAACATGAATTTGTGCATGAGGCAGAAATAATGCGGTGCGACTCAAGTTTCGCCATCATCTGGAAGACAGTGTCCCTTTTTGGTCAGTGTCAGTGGAGGAAAGGGAGAGCGGAGGGACATTGAAAGGTGGACCCTCAATCTGCTGACCTCTCCCTCTGATGAGAGTCACCATCTGATACAGGCTCCATCAGACCAGTAAAATAAAAAAAGCAAATTATTAAAATGTATGCTCACTCAGCTGTGCCTCACAAGTAATACAACAACTGATCTATTACCGGTGTAATCATATAGCCTACCTCAAATGTTGAAATATAATTTTAAAAAATGGTCTGAGAAGAACCACAATGCAGGGCAATTCAAGAAAAACCAATATGTGACTAGTTTCAGGAAACTAGATGTATGTCGCACGTCACTACTTCACAGGAAAGGCATTTGAACGTAAACTTTAAACAAAAATCTAAATCCATTTTTGGCAGAAATACCTACTGGAATTTATGAACTTTCATGTGCCTTAATAACAAACGTGTATGCCATCTGTGAATACAAATACAACTGTTAAATTACGAGCCTATTTGGTTTAGCCACGGAAAAAGACAGGAACCTTCCCACTAGCCATGAATGGCTGAGATAATGGATGGACTGGACATGCCGAGAGATGAGTTCGGATTGGTCTGCCATGTAGCGCGCTTCTGTCTATAACATGAGCTGGTCAGCATGTGTAGGTAATCCTTTCTAACGCAGATTTTTTTGAAAGATATCGCGTAGTAGAACTGAAAAGTGTTGCTCTCCACTTTCTGGAGGACCGAGATTTGAAATCAGTGGAATGCCCGGTGGAATTAGAGTATGATTGCTAAGGAGATGGAGACAATTCTGGCTTTTGATTGCAAATATGCAGAGGGAGTTGAAAAGAGAACACACAGAAGGCTGTTGTATAAAACACCTGTTTCCGGATTACATCTTCAAACAAAGGCAACCATGGCATCCTTGACAGAGAGGGAGAAGCGTCCATCCATGTATACAGATAAGAGAGTCTAGCTAGCTACATTTTCAGACATTCTACATTTCTAATTTTGTCAGAAAGTTAAAGCGAACTGTTAGCTAGCTAGCTAATGTTATCTGACTGGCTTGCTAGCTAACGTTACGTGTATGATCTGTGTAGTAATATTATTTGTATCTCATCGCCATTTGCATTGCTAGTTATAGCCTAATGTTAGCTAGCTAGATAACATTGAACCTGGTTGGTTAGCTACCTGCAAATTCATGCAGGGTAGTAACGTTATGAGTTGGGATTATGGTTCATTGTTTAGCTAGCTAGCTACACGTCTAAACAAAATATTCCACTATGCTAGTAATCATTTCACTACACCTTCTGAATCCTGTGCATGTGACGAATAAACTTAGATTTTATTTGACATAGCATGTGTTTACCAGAGACGGTAATGTGAAGAACATGACCTGCACCAAAGTCAAATTAGGATATAACGTTAGGCTAATGAGACAGTGTCCAAGTTCTAAAATTCTCTGGTAGAATGCCCTGATTTTATTTTGTCACTGTCAGTCTGGCACCGATGTGGATGTGATGAGGAGTCAGGCGCAGGACACAGAGGTTTAGTCCAACAAACTTTACTATAGTAAAGTGAACAATATCCAATACACGACCTCGAAATACAGAGGCGAGAAAACTACGCAACATGCGTAAAACAAAACAAAACATATAGAGCGCAAAACACGCAGCTCCAAATGACACGCGGACAACAACACACAATCTAACTAACACCAAAACACGGAACTTAAAGGACACGTAATTAGGACACAAACTGACACAGGTGTACCAGACAGACCAAAGCAATCAACACACGAAACATACAACGGTGGCAGCTAGTATTCCGGGGACGGCGAACGCCGAAGCCTGCCCGAACCAGGAGGAGGAGCAGCCTCGGCCGAAACCGTGACAGTACCCCCCCCTTGACGCGCGGCTCCAGCCGTGCGCCGACCCCGGTCTCGGGGACGGCCAGGAGGACGCGGACCCGGGCGCGTGGGATGCCCACGGTGAAACTCTGTCAGGAGGGATGGGTCGAGGATGTCCCTCCTAGGCACCCAGCACCGTTCCTCCGGACCGTACCCCTCCCACTCCACGAGATACTGGAGACCACTCCTCCGGCGCCTCGAGTCCAATATAGTCCGGACCCTGTACGCCGGTGCCCCCTCGATGTCCAAAGGGGGTGGAGGGGTCTCTCCTATCTCCTCCTCTTGGAGTGGACCAGCTACCACCGGCCTGAGAAGAGACACATGGAACGAGGGGTTAATATTTTTGTACTCAATAGGCAGTTGTAATCTGTAACACACCTCGTTCAATCTTCTCAGGACTTTGAAGGGCCCCACAAACCGCCGACCCAGCTTCCGGCAGGGCAGGCGGAGGGGCAGGTTTCGAGTCGAGAGCCAGACTCGATCTCCCGGTGCGTACACCGGCCCCTCACTGCGGTGGCGATCGGCGCTCGCCTTTTGTTGACGGATGGCACGCTGCAGATGGACATGGGCAGCGTCCCACGTCTCCTCCGAGCGCCGAATCCACTCGTCCACCGCAGGGGCCTCGGTCTGGCTCTCGTGCCACGGTGCCAGGACCGGCTGATACCCTAAAATACACTGGAAAGGTGTTAATCCGGTGGAGGAGTGGCGGAGAGAGTTCTGTGCCATCTCTGCCCAGGGGATATACCTCGACCACTCCTCCGGCCGGTCCCGGCAATAGGACCTCAAAAACCTACCCACATCCTGGTTCACACGTTCAACCTGCCCATTGCTCTCTGGGTGGTACCCCGAGGTAAGGCTAACCGAGACCCCCAGTCGTTCCATGAATGCCCCCCAGACTCTGGAGGTGAACTGGGGACCTCGGTCGGACACAATATCCTCGGGGACCCCATAGTGCCGGAACACGTGGGTAAATAGGGCCTCGGCGGTCTGTAGGGCAGTAGGGAGACCCGGCAGTGGAAGGAGACGACAGGCCTTAGAAAACCGATCCACAACGACCAAAATGGTGGTATTACCCTGGGAAGGGGGTAGAGCGGTCACAAAATCCACCGAGAGGTGGGACCATGGTCGTTGTGGAACGGGCAGAGGATGTAACTTACCCCTGGGCAAATGTCTAGGTGCCTTACACTGGGCACACACCGAGCAGGAGGAGACATAAACCCTCACATCCCTGGCTAACGTTGGCCACCAGTATTTCACGCTAAGGCAGTGCACCGTCCGACCAATACCTGGATGTCCAGAGGAGGGTGATGTATGAGCCCAAGAAATAAGCCGATCACGAACCTCGAGCGGAACGTACGTCCGCCCCACAGGACACTCGGGGGGAGTAGGGTCGGTACGCAGCGCCCGCTCGATTTCCGTATCGACCTCCCATACTACCGGAGCCACCAGACAAGACTCCGGCAGTATGGAAGTAGGCTCAATGGACCTCTCCTCTGTGTCATACCGCCGGGACAGGGCGTCTGCCTTACCGTTCTGGGACCCAGGGATGTATGTGATCTTAAAAACAAACCGGGTCAGGAACATGTTCCACCTAGCCTGACGAGGATTCAATCTCCTAGCTGCCCGGATGTACTCCAGGTTACGGTGATCAGTCAGAATGAGGAAAGGGTGTTGAGCCCCCTCAAGCCAATGCCTCCACACCTTTAGGGCCTGGACTACAGCTAACAGCTCCCTGTCCCCAACGTCATAATTGCGCTCCGCCGAGCTGAGCTTCTTGGAGTAGAACGCACAGGGGCGGAGCTTAGGTGGCGTGCCGGACCGTTGTGACAGGACTGCCCCAATACCGGTCTCGGACGCGTCCACCTCTACTTGGAAAGGCAAAGAGGGATCCGGATGCGCCAGCACCGGGGCCGAGGCGAACAGGTTCTTCAGCTTGACAAATGCCCTGTCCGCCTCAGCTGACCACCGCAAGCGCACCGGACCCCCCTTTAGCAGGGACGTAATGGGAGCTGCAACCTGTCCAAAGCCCCGATAAACCTCCGGTAGTAATTAGCAAAACCCAAGAACCGCTGCACCTCTTTTACGGTGGTTGGAGTTTGCCAATTACGCACAGCCGATACCCGATCTACCTCCATCTCCACGCCAGACGCGGACAACCGATAACCCAAAAAGGAGACGGACTCCTGGAAGAACAGGCATTTCTCTGCCTTGACATACAAGTCATGCTCCAACAGTCGTCTCAATACTCGGCGCACCTGGGCCACATGCTCGGCTCGTGTAGAAGAATACACTAGAATGTCGTCAATGTACACCACTACACCCTGCCCATGCATGTCCCGGAAAATCTCGTCAACAAAGGATTGGAAGACTGAAGGAGCATTCATTAACCCGTATGGCATGACGAGATACTCGTAATGACCCGAGGTGGTGCTAAATACTGTTTTCCATTCATCCCCCTCCCTAATGCGCACCAAATTGTACGCGCTCCTGAGATCCAACTTTGTGAAGAACCGCGCTCCGCGTAATGACTCCGTCATCGTCGCAATCAGTGGAAGTGGGTAACTGTATTTCACTGTGATCTGATTGAGACTACGGTAATCAATACACGGGCGCAATCCCCCGTCCTTCTTCTTCACAAAGAAGAAACTCGAGGAGACCGGAGAAGTGGAGGACCGTATGTATCCCTGTGCCAAGGACTCGGCTATGTAAGTCTCCATAGCCGCAGTTTCCTCTTGAGACAGGGGATACACACGACTCCGGGGAAGAGCTGCTCCTGTCTGGAGATTTATCGCACAGTCCCCCTGTCTATGAGGAGGTAGCCGTGCTGCCCTCGATTTGCTAAACACAAGTGCTAAATCCTCATACTCGGGGGGAATGCGCAGTGCGGGCACTTGGTTCGGACTCTCTACCGAGGTCGCCCCTATGGAAACACCTAGACATCTCCCTACACACTGGGCAGACCACTCCATAAGAGCCCTCTGTTGCCACGCTATGGTAGGATCGTGGGTGCTTAACCAGGGAAGCCCCAACACCACTGGGTACGCAGGAGAGTCAATCAGATAGAACTGAATGATTTCCTCATGACCCCCCTGCGTCGTCATCGTCAGCGGCGCTGTGACATCCCTGATCAGACCCGACCCCAACGGCCGGCTGTCTAATGCGTGGACAGGGAATGGAACTTCTACCGGCCGAAGGGGAATTCCTAACCTAGCACAAAATGCCCGATCAATAAAGTTCCCAGCTGCGCCTGAATCTACTAGCGCCTTATGCTGGGAATGAGGTGCCACCTGTGGAAAACGCACAGGAATACTCATGTGACCAACAGAGAGCTCTGGGTAAGTGGGGCGCCTACTCACCTGAATGACTCCCCAGTGCGTGACCTGTTGTCCCCTCTCTCAGAAGACCCCCCCCCAGCACCTGGCCGCGGTGTGTCCTCCACGGCCACAGTTGGTGCAGGGGTTGGCCCCCCTCGGGTTCTCCCTCCTCCTCTCTCTAGCGCCAGCACCCCCGAGCTCCATGGGAATTGGCTCGGAGGTGCTGGAGGATGGAATGGACGACCCCCACTCGGGACGTCCGCGGGTGGCCAGCAGGGTGTCGAGCCGGATGGAGATGTCCACCAGCTGGTCGAAGCATAGGTTGGTGTCCCTGCAGGCCAGCTCCCTACGAACGTCCTCTCGCAGGCTACACCGGTACTGGTCGATGAGGGCCCTCTCATTCCATCCCGCATCCGCAGCTAACGTCCGGAACTCCAGTGCGAACTCCTGTGCGCTCCTCTTCTCCTGTCGGAGGTAGAACAGACGCTCCCCCGCCGCCTTCCCTTCAGGTGGGTGATCGAAGACTGCCCGGAAGCGGCGGGAGAACTCAGCGTAGGTGATGGTAGCTGCGTCTATTCCCCTCCATTCGGCGTTGGCCCACTCCAACGCCTTTCCGGCTAGACAGGAGATGAGGGCGGAGACGCTCTCGTATCCCGAGGGCGCTGGGTGTATAGTAGCCAGGTATAGTTCTACCTGCAGGAGGAACCCCTGACACCCGGCTGCAGAACCATCATATGCCCTCGGGAGCGAGAGCCGAATACCACTGGGTTCCGGCGCTGAGAGAGGAGGACTGACCGGTGGTGATGGGATGGTGTATGAGGACGTGGGCACCTCTCCATTAGCCAACCGGTGCAGAGTGTTGGACACCTCGCCCAGAACGGCCTCCAGTTGCCGGATCATGGATTCCTGATAACTGAGCCGTTCTTCTAGCGACCTGGGTGCTGTCGCTGATCCTGCTGACTCCATAGCTGGTGTGTTGTTCTGTCAGTCTGGCACCGATGTGGATGTGATGAGGAGTCAGGCGCAGGACACAGAGGTTTAGTCCAACAAACTTTACTATAGTAAAGTGAACAATATCCAATACACGACCTCGAAATACAGAGGCGAGAAAACTACGCAACATGCGTAAAACAAAACAAAACATATAGAGCGCAAAACACGCAGCTCCAAACGACACGCGGACAACAACACACAATCTAACTAACACCAAAACACGGAACTTAAAGGACACGTAATTAGGACACAAACTGACACAGGTGTACCAGACAGACCAAAGCAATCAACACACGAAACATACAACGGTGGCAGCTAGTATTCCGGGGACGGCGAACGCCGAAGCCTGCCCGAACCAGGAGGAGGAGCAGCCTCGGCCGAAACCGTGACAGTCACACTCAAAACCGTAAGCTATTTTCTGTAATTGGCTCACCATTAACTTGAAAATAATGATCTTGTTGTGAGTTTATTTTCCTGTAATAATGAAGACAAATTAGCTAAAGTGAAGACGTTGTCAGCTCTATGATATGGTCATTAATTGAACTGGCCTCACATGTGAATACTTAAAGAGACGGGTGGAGCTAAGGCTAAAGAGGGTGTGAACGATGCTGAATGGGTCTAGACAAAGAAGAGCTCTACAGTAGGTTTACCAAATGATTCAAGGGCCATTTTCTCAAAAGTGAGGTTACAGGTTTATCAACTTTCAAAGCAGAATTACTTTCCTATTGTTCCTCAACTGTAGTGTATGATATACCATTTTCTAGCTCTGAGTCTTTACTTATATCCAATGTAAAAAAAAACATAATTTCAAATGTTGCTACATAAGACCGAATCGAGCCGGTTGGTCACATATGCAGTGATAATGTTTTGGGCCTATAGCCTACTGCACAAACCTCATTACTACAGTACTGTTTTTAATAGGTTAATGTTGTATAATTGAATGTTTTTAAAGTAATCTCGGCTTGCATTTTGACTCAGAAAGTGATCTCCACTCAAAAAAGGTTGGTGACCACTGCTCTAGAGAAACGGTGCAGTGTGTGCATTGAGCTCACAGAAAAAAACGGAACAAAATGGAATTCAAATAATTGATAATAATAATCGGTTAATCGCTCAACACTACCATACACTAATTTACATTAAATCGAAAGCCACAGAAACCAAAACTAAATGAAAACATATCCTCTCTCTCAAACTGTTTCGGTAGAACTGGGACTCACTGGTGAACCTGCTGGCTGCAGCTCCCACTGGTGAAGGGGATGATGGCCCTTAGTCGGTGGATGGCGAGCTCCACAAACTGCTGCTTCAGAGCCCTTTCCTTGGAGGCGTTGGTCCATGTCAGCTTCTCGTACAGGTAGAGCAGGCCATAAAGTGTTGTGGAGAAGGCGATGAGTCTCCAGCCCACTGAGCGCCACACCTGCCGCACAGGACGGGATGAGATCACCTGCTTTAGCATTAGCTCTCAGCCATTAGCCATGTAAACATTGCTACGATAGCAGTGCTAGGCTAGCAATACAACTCAGTGTTAGCATTAGCTTTTACAAACAGATGTCAGTATTAATAGCAAATTAGCAACATAATCATGTGTCAGTGTTTGCTTTACTGTGTCAGTTTTGGCACGCAAGTTAGCTGTTATCATTACAAACAAGTAAGTGTTAGTGTGCCAAACGGCTAGCAATGCATGTGTCAGTGTTAGCGGTGGCAATACAAGCACCTTTCAGTTTTATCAGTAGCTGTTAGCAAATAGAGTACATTATAAAATGAAATACAAACATAATTGGTTTGAAGAGAAAGTGCACATACCACTCCGCCAATGACAAGCACAGTCATGGAGGCTCTGGAGGTGAGCGACACTACACCTGTTGCCATGGAGAAGACCATGTGGTCCTGTAGGCTGGTTCCACCCTGTTCCTGGAGTGCAGTAGGAGAGGTATTCTGGAGAGAAAATTTAAGGGCATATGACAGTGGTGGCCACCTATACCAACCCTCCTCATGGAGAGCTACTGGGTGTACGGGTTTTCGCTCCAACCCTGCTAAAACTACTCAGCTGTTCTTCGAGACCTTGATTAGCTGAATCAGGTGGGTTAAGAATAGGGTTTGGAGCAAAACCCTGCAGTCCCAGTAGCTCAAGAGGACGGCTGGCCACCCCTGGCATATCACTCATTTATCCTACAGTAGTCAAAGTAAACTTTTTTTTTTGTAGCATCTCAGAGTAGGAGTGCTGATCTAGGATAATTTCCCACTGGCCATGCAATATTTTTCAAATATGATTTAAAAGGCTAAACTGATCCTATATCAGCACTACTCTGAGAGACTGAATACAGGCCCTGACATTGGCTAACCTGAAACTTATGGTTCATGGCCGTCAGGGCTTGCTTGGCATTGCTGGGCCCAATGAATCGACTGACAAGGGCAGTCCAGCCGAGAGAGAACTGGAAGTCGATGTCCTCCTGGAAGTCAGTGCAGAGGGTGGCCAGGTTAAGGTCGTAGGTCAAGTCAAACTTCCTGCTGGGTAGGTGAATGTGGAGCTGCTCCTGGACATCAGGGGGCAGCAGTGGCCGAATACTCTCTGAAATACAGAATCATCGTCATGGGTCTAACTACACATAATAATAATAATAATAATAATACTAAAACTATATCAATCAATTACTTCCTAATTCTTGGATTGATATTGTAGCGATCCTCACTAATGAGCCCACGTTACAATTCCCCCCAAGTGGGTTAACCCTATTGGAGCAATGTGTAGCATGTTTGCCTTTCACAAGAGCGATCTGGGTTCTATTGCTGCTCCTTCCTTTTGCTATATTGGTGACAGAGGTTTGGGATGGCGCAAGTGAGGCCATCGCAATGCACGGGTGGACGTGCTGCATAACCTGAAAGATGGTCCAGCACGGTGACGTGCCTTTGTGTTCGGAGGGGGCAGTGTAGCAATCCTCACTAATGAGCCCACGTTACAATTCCCCCCAACTGGGTTAACCTTAATGTGTACCATTGTTTGCCTTTCACAGGAGCAACACGGTTTCTATTCCCACTCCATCTATTTGCTATAATATAATAACAATGTTATGCCCATGATCACCAAACTGTTTTGAATTTCAAGAAACGCATTCACGGCTCAAGCTAAGTTTGTACTAGGCCCCGTGTAGCTCAGTTGGTAGAGCATGGTGCTTGCAACGCCAGGGTTGTGGGTTCGTTTCCCACGGGGGGCCAGTATGAAAACATTTATGCACTCACTAACTGTAAGTCGCTCTGGATAAGAGCGTCTGCTAAATGACTAAAATGTAAAATGTACTATACCTACCAATCATGTTTTTCTGGGATGACTGCATGTTGCCAATGATCCCAGTGGAACAACGAAAGGCCAAAGATGTACTCATCCTCTCTTCCACATGCATCATAAGCTTCTGCAGGCAAAACAATGAGGAGAAATTGATGATGAGATGTAATGGAGGTGGTTCAGTGAACCACGCTCGCGTGATCAGTAACCTTACCGGAGACCTGGATACCTAGGTTAGCTCCCCAAGCTCTGCCCAGGCTTTAGCTCAGCGGGCTAACAGTGTTGTGGTGAGTAGACAACCTGGGTTTAAACCTGGTTGGTCACAAACACACACACACACACACACACACTATTACTCAAAAGGATGGCTGTCACGCCCTGGCCTATAGAACTCTATCTAGTTTGGTCAGGGTGTGAATTTCTAGGTTTGTATTTCAGCGGCTCCACTCCGGAGCCAGAGTAGTCCGCTCCACCGGTGCCTGATCCAGCTCCGGTCAGCGGCTCCACTCCGGAGCCGGAGCCGCCACCGAGGCTGGAAGCCCACCCGGACCCTCCCCTATTCAGTCAGGTTTGTGCGGTCGGAGTCCGCACCTTTAGGGGGGGGGTACAGTCACGGTGTGAATTTCTAGGTTTGTATTTCTATGTTTGGCCGGGTGTGGTTCCCAATTGGTCGCTCGTTGTCTCTGATTGGGGATCATACTTAGGCAGCCAGTTTTCCTGCCTGTGTTGTGGGTTTTTGTTGTGTTCCTGTTGTAGGCTTGTGTGTTAGCCTTTGGACCGTCACGGTTAAGTTTTGTTATTTTGGTTACTGTGTCGTGTGTTTATTCTTTAATAAACATGTACGCCTTTCACGCTGCACCTTGATCCGTCCCGTTCCTTAACGTACGTGACAATGGCAGTGAAGATTTAGTTTACCATCATTATATTTTTAGACAATCATACACAACCAAGTGCTAATGCCATAACAAAATGAGAATTTAAACGACAATGACCAGTACTTCTAAAGTTTCTACACCACTGTGTTATCATCCATAGATGTAAACAAAGTTTACATTCACACACACACGTGCCAATGCAGATGTGCACATACACAGTCATTCAGACACACACACACACTACTACGCCCTATTGACCCTATGCCTATTGACCCCATCCACCCCCCTCTGACCAGCAGGACTCTAAGAGGCTTTTCTTTCAATCCTGTTTAGAGTGATCGCTCACTCTCCAGCCAGCTGTACTGATCAGATAGGGTACACTGAGATTGTGTGTGTCAGGGTTTCCGTTAGCCGGTAATTTCCGGCTTTTGGCTGATAAAAAAAGAAAAGAAAAGCAATAAATAAAATGGTTGCCGTCCAAATTCACCGTGAGCGGGTAAGAATGTCTATTTCACCAGCCACATTGGTGGGTGGTACATTTTCAGGGCTCTACAGTGCGAGCATTACATTCGAATTTGTGAATAAAAATAGAGTCAAAAGTCAAGTATGAGCAAGTTGCTATTTCTAGCCAAAAAATGCTGAAGTAGCTGTTTTAAAACATCCCATCTTGCACAGCAACAGCTTTGCGCACTGTGAGTGAAGCACTAATAGATTCGTTTTTGGAGGCACATAAAAGTTGGTCTAATTTACTCAAGTCAGCAAAGTGAGACTTTGTCCTCCTGTTTCTTGGCTATTTACATTGTTTTGTTCACAAGCTCGGTTGTTTTTCAATGTTAGTTTGAGTCTGCTGCTTCAACTGATAGCGAAGAGACGCTGTAGACGCTGTCTACTACTAGTCACATCCCAAATCACACACACACACACACTTGACATGACTCAAGTGACCCCGTTACCACGGTAATCTCCCGCCCTTAAAGGAGCAGCTGAACATTTTGTCTCTGGTATTAAGACTCAGGTCACCAGAAGAAAAAAAAAAAGAAATTGAGCAATATACCACATTACTTCTTACGAATACATTTCTGGTTTTAGAAACATTACAAAGCATGGTCATCAGTTTCTGTATGTAATTATGTTGCAAAAAATATTTGGCTGGTATATTTTTTCATCTACCCGCCACAGTTGCTGGTGGAACTGTGACAATCTCGGTTCGACAGACACTGGGAGACGGGAAGCAAGGACAGGGGGATGATTTAATAAATAAAAGACATGGAACCAAAACACCGACAGCGTCTGGACGGGGGAAACGAAACAACATCAATGCAGACACCGGGATCAAACTGGGGAACAGACAGATATAGAAGGGGCAATCAACAAAGTGAAGGAGTCCAGGTGAGTCCAATGAGCGCTGATGCGCGTAAAGATGGTAACAGGTCTGCGTAATGATCGGTAGCCTGGTGCCCTTCGAGCGCCAGGGAGGAGCGGGTGCAGGCGTGACCGCAACAAAAGTTACTTTTATTAATTGATTGAAATATCAGTCGATGTAAACACATTTGACCGTTGTTGCTGCTGGAGTGAAACAAGTCATTGCGCAACAATTCTAAACGCAATCGCGTGTTAAAAACAGTTTTGATGGCCACGATTAAAAATAGCTAATTGAATCACGCCATTCAAGTGCATAGACAACGGTAGGCAGGCTATTAGTGCGTCACCCACCACTTTGCAATGTGAGCTGGAGGCAGTATGCATTTTGAAAACATAAACGTCATTGTTTGAAACCTGAACATTTTACTTCATATTATGAGGCATGTCTTACCTTGCTTCAAAGTAGCCTAGGCAAAATTGGACCATAGAAACGTGGAGGCGATTATTTTATAAAGACTTCCTCATGGCCTCCCGAGTGGCGCAGCGTTCTAAGGCACTGCATCGCAGTGCTTGAGGCGTCACTACAGACCTGGGTTTGATCCCAGGCTGTGTCGCAGCCGGCTGTGACCGGGAGACCTATGAGGCAGCGCACAATTGGCCCAGCGTCGTCCCGGTTAGGGGAGGGTTTGGCCGGCCGGGATTTCCTTGTCCCATTGCGCTCTACCAGCTTTTCTCTCCTGTTCTATAGGTTTTCATATCAACTTTCTTTCGTTATCCAGAAGCTGAAGGCACAATCCTAGTCATATTAGCAACACATCCTAATTGTTGCATCTTTAGATTCCCCCTCTTTCTAGGTTTCTAACAGAGATTTTAATCTGTTTCACATATGGAACCGCTCACATCAGGCTTGCTGTTTAGAATGGTGTTTTCCTGCCAATTGCATTTTGTCAAATGTTAGAAAATTATGTTTTATTGGCTGCTTCATTACAGGAGTTGCATGTTCTGTTAAGATGAATTACCATAATCTAAATGTGATCTAAATGTTCTATCATTCTGAGCACCGTGGGTGGATGACCTAATGGGTTAGACACCCAATGCATACACTGTATGGGTCCGATACATTTCTCAAATGGCCGGTAAATTAAAACATCCCTGGTCACATTGTCCGGCGCCACATTTTCCTAACGGAAACCCTGGTGTGTGTGTGTATGTGTGTGTGTGTGTGTGTCTGTGCGCAAGTCTGAGTGTTTGCCCATGGGTGTGAAGGTTAAATGTCACGTTTAAAAAACATGATAGTGTAGAAAGGGTGAAATAGTTAAAGGGAATTACAATTTTAATGACACTTTTTCTGTCCTGAAAAAATGTGTTGTGAGGATTAGACCTGTGGGCTACATGTACAAAAAGTATTTAGTCAGCCACCAATTGTGCAAGTTCTCCCACTTAAAAAGATGAGAGAGGCCTGTAATTTTCATCATAGGTACACGTCAACTATGACAGACAAATGGATAATTTTTTTTCCAGAAAATCACATTGTAGGATTTTTAATGAATTTATTTGCAAATTATGGTGGAAAATAAGTATTTGGTCACCTACAAACAAGCAGGATTTCTGGCTCTCACAGACCTGTAACTTCTTCTTTAAGAGGCTCCTCTGTCCTCCACTTGTTACCTGTATTAATGGCACCTGTTTGAACTTGTTATCAGTATAAAGGACACCTGTCCACAACCTCAAACAGTCACACTCCAAACTCCACTATGGCCAAGACCAAAGAGCTGTCAAAGGACACCAGAAACAAAATTTTAGACCTGGGAAGACTGAATCTGCAATAGGTAAGCAGCTTGGTTTGAAGAAATCAACTGTGGGAGCAATTATTAGGAAATGGAAGACATACAAGACCACTGATAATCTCCCTCGATCTGGGGCTCCACGCAAGATCTCACCCCGTGGGGTCAAAATGATCACAAGAACGGTGAGCAAAAATCTCAGAACCACACGGGGGGACCTAGTGAATGACCTGCAGAGAGCTGTGACCAAAATAACAAAGCCTACCATCAGTAACACACTACGCCGCCAGGGACTCAAATCCTGCAGTGCGAGATGTGTCCCCCTGCTTAAGCCAGTACATGTCCAGGCCCGTCTGAAGTTTGCTAGAGTGCATTTGGATGATCCAGAAGAGGATTGGGAGAATGTCATATGGTCAGATGAAACCAAAATAGAACTTTTTGGTAAAAACTCAACTCGTCGTGTTTGGAGGACAAAGAATGCTGAGTTGCATCCAAAGAACACCATACCTACTGTGAAGCATGGGGGTGGAAACATCATGCTTTGGGGCTGTTTTTCTGCAAAGGGACCAGGATGACTGATCTGTGTAAAGGAAAGAATGGGGCCATGTATCGTGAGATTTTGAGTGAAAACCTCCTTCCATCAGCAAGGGCATTGAAGATGAAACGTGGCTGGGTCTTTCAGCATGACAATGATCCCAAACACACCGCCCGGGCAATGAAGGAGTGGCTTCGTAAGAAGCATTTCAAGGTCCTGGAGTGGCCTAGCCAGTCTCCAGATCTCAACCCCATAGAAAATCTTTGGAGGGAGTTGAAAGTCCGTGTTGCTCAGCGACAGCCCCAAAACATCACTGCTCTAGAGGAGATCTGCATGGAGGAATGGGCCAAAATACCAGCAACAGTGTGTGAAAACCTTGTGAAGACTTACAGAAAACGTTTGACCTGTGTCATTGCCAACAAAGGGTATATAACAAAGTATTGAGAAACTTTTGTTATTGACCAAATACTTATTTTCCACCATAATTTGCAAATAAATTCATTAAAAATCCTACAATGTGATTTTCTGGATTTTTTTTCTCTCATTTTGTCTGTCATAGTTGACGTGTACCTATGATGAAAATTACAGGCCTCTCTCATCTTTTTAAGTGGGAGAACTTGCACAATTGGTGGCTGACTAAATACTTTTTTCCCCCACTGTAACTGTTGATCATGGGTTAATATTACTAGGATATGGGATGTACACAGAACTCACTGCTTTGTAGAGCGGCAATGCATGTGGGGTTGGTATAAAATCAGCACTGAACTCATCAACCAGCGCTGGGAGACCACAAATCTGCTCCAGCATGGCAACAGTCACCTAAACAAAAATGTATAGTAAAATCATAAACCAACACGTTATTTACCAACCTTAATCTATCCATTGCCAACAATATTTATATGTGGCTAACAATGCACAAAATATCCTTGAACACAAAATCATGAACACAAACTGCTTGTCAGGCCAACTATGGACAAAAATATGTGGTGTATGAGAGGGTTGTTCATCTGTTGATCCAAAACCAATCATTTACTCACACACTTACGCACCGTTATCCTTACATTATTTTGCTTTGAGATCTGTGTGCTTTAATGAAAATGTTCTCCCATTGACATCAATGAATTATTTAGGTCAAAGGTCAAAGATTGTGCGCTTATCTCAACTCTGAATCATAGTAAAAAATAGGCTATTCCCCTTTGTCATTTGGTTTAACAGACACTCCCTTTTTATACTACTCTACGTTTGTGAGTGCGAATGTCTACCTTGGCGGCCACCTCATCTGTTATGGTCTCGATCTTCTCTTTGACGTTCTCGGTCAGGCGGTTAAGTTGGCCTCTGACAAACTCCAGACGGTCCTTCTGGTCCTCTCGGTCCTCCAGGGAAAATATCCTGCACACGGAGAGGTCAAAGGGGAAAGAGCAAAGGTTGTCATAGGTAGGAGCAAATTGGAAAGCTTCTCTCTTTCAAGGCTAAATCCTATGCTGAGATACACATTTGAGTCAGAGTTTTGCGCAATTCGTACAGTACATGGATGTTAGTAGGAAGTTAGTGTGAAAATTGGAGTTACACGCACATATCTCAAGTTAGCATTTGGACCTTAAAGGGATACTGCAATATTTAGGTCTTTAATCTATTTATCCATTACTATGTATAGCTTTGTAAGACTATAAATGACCAACCACCCAGTTTTGGAGTAGTTAGAAGGTCTATTCCCCTGCTTTTGAAAGGAGCTGGCTACTGTACCGGGAGACTTCCAGCAATTGCGCTAAGCTAACGATATGCTTACTTCAATCATCTCCAAACTGCACGCAGAAACATAAAAATGGTATCCATGAGTTTGTCGGACTCTGAGTAAGTACTCTCCAAATCTTGCAGTATCCCTTTAATCTAATGATTAACAATCAATACTGTTTAGGGGGAGTATGGCAGTATCACATTACCAATGCCCCTATAAAAACAAAAGAGTGGGGATGCAGAATCAAAAATGGTTCTTAAAATAACTGGGGGAGAAACTCACTTCCTTTCGGCAGATGCAATATTTATGGCGTCCATGACTGTTTTGATTGCTTCTGTGATCTGCCACGCACTGAGCGTGTGCTGCTCAAACTTGGTCTTGACCGCAGAGTGTGAGATGAACTCCTGTGCAGTCGTAAATACAGTAGGTTAGTGTGACAATGCCACACAACGTGAAATTGACAATGATATTACAATGGACCATGACAATCAGTTATGCTTCAGTACTTGCCTCAAATGTTCTCTCGAATCTCTGGAACTCCCTCAGTCTCTCGTGGAATCCCTCTGCTAAAGCGCCACCTAGAAAGACCAGCATAAGTCAAAAGACAAAATAGTAACGGGGGACCACCAACACATTCAATTATAGTTAGTGTGGGCTTTCATGGATGGCCGGGTAAGGTGAACAGTTCAAAGCTTTAAGATAGCATTGATGTTTTCGAGGCGAGACAGTAACAGGAGAGAGATGCCTGTTACAGGGCTGATGGAGGAAAATCTGTCAGGAGTGTGCTGGCAACTGCTTGTCAAGTTTCTATGAATGCCTATATATTCATGTAAAGTGTTATTTTGCCTGCTAAATGACCATAACCATATCAATACCACATAATTATTGTTCCCAAGCCTCATACCAGCGAACCAGCCCAGCCAGTCAGCCAGTGTCACGTTCGTCATAATGAGTGGACCAAGGCGCAGCGTGATATGCGTACATCTCTTTAATAGTGTACTATTAACAATATGATACAAATAACAAAACGAAAAGTCCTCGGTCATACACAAACCTACACGGAACAAAATCCCATGAATAACAAGTGCACAAATGGCTGCCTAAGTATGGTTCCCAATCAGAGACAACAAGCAACAGCTGATTCTCGTTGCCTCTGATTGAGAACCACCCCGGCCAACATAGAAACACATAACCTAGAACAGAACATAGAAAACGAAACATACAAGAGTCCCCAGAGCCAGGGCGTGACAGCCAGCCAGCATCATGCAACCCCGCCCACCTAGCCTTTGGTCCCTTCTCACCTGTCTCACCTGTCTCGGGCATGCCCTGGGCACAGTGCATCCTGGAGCTGAGCACCTCCTTGGCCGACACAAAGAAGATCCGTCCCGGCGCCTCCTCTTGACTCACCACCCTCAGCTCCTCCACCAGGAAACTCACACAGCGGTCCATGTGCTGCTTACGCACCTGGGGGAGATCATTATCCATTAGGTTTGATATTTTGGTCGAATGAAGGGCTCAATGAAGCGCCCATAAGCCCTTTATAAGTGGGACCCATCTTGTTTTTCTTACGGCCAAACTACACAAGACATGTAACGTAAGCATAGCATACACAAAACGCAAGCGTGGATGACACTGAACCACTGTGAGCAAAGATAAATTATACTCCAGCTGAGCAAGCAGCAAGTGAATGAAGCATGTCTATTTCAATTATTTCACTGCTGCACTATTGATTGCTTCCTCCTTTTGCTGCTTCTGGTGTAGCATGGCAAAAACAACGCTTATGAAATGCTTGCACTATGCTTGCAGTGTAGTTTCACAGTCAAACTCACTTCATCTATGTACTCGGGCTCCCACGCAGAGGCATCCCAGCGGTTGTGCAGGATGAAAATGTTTGGCTTGGATATGCGCTCGCTCACTTTGTGGAAAAACAGCTTCTCCTTTAAAGTGTAATAGACACATCAAGAAACACATATATATAAGTAGAGAAGCAATGGAAAGAAAAACAGGTTTTAAATAAACAAAAAAACAAGTGCATAAATGCATCATGGGATACACCGAAACATCTAGCTACAATATAATCATTGATTATGCTCATAGTGGTGTGCATAGGCGTAATTTCCAGTAGGAATGGGGGGAATTTTGTAATTATTAGAAACCATAGGCCAGTAAGATAAAAATGCAAAAAATATATTTGAAAGGCAAAAAACATTCTTAACGTTTTCTGTCGATTAATGGTAATGTTAATGTACGTTAGTGTTAATGGTAAAGAGTTACAAGAGTGGTTTAGTTAGTTTTCTCACTGTGTTCATCAGTGTGGACTCTGCATTGCCCACCAACACAAAGACGTCAGCGTCCAGACAGAACTTGTCGATCCAGCTGTCCAGGTAAGAGGTCACATCAGTCCCTGGGCTGTGTGTTTGTGCACGCGCATGTATAATGCAACATACAAGTGGAATTGATTGATAAGAGGAAGTAAAAGAATACAACTTGAACACATACAAAGTGAACACAGTTTTCATGAAATACAAAATATACAAACACTGCACAGACAAGTCAGGACAACCCAGCGTAACAGAGCCAGTCCGCGTTGTACCAGTGCCTTCAGAAAGTATTCATACCCCTTGACTTATTCCACATTATGTTGTGTTACAGCCTGAATTCTAAATGGATTAAATAAAACATGTTTCTCACCCATATACACACAATACCCCATAATGACAAAGTGAAAACCTGTTTTGAGAAAATTTAGCAAATTTAGAAAAAAATTAAATACAGAAATATCTCATTTACATAAGTGTTCACACCCCTGATTCAAAACACCTTTGGCAGCGATTACAGCTGTGAGTCTCTAAGAGCTTTGAACACCTGGATTGTATAATATTTGCACATTATTATTTTTTTAATTCTTCAAGCTCTGTCAAGTTGGTTGTTGATCATTGCTAGACAGCCATTTTCAAGTCTTGCCATAGATTTCCAAGCCTATTTAAGTCTAAACTGTAACTAGGCCACTCAGGAACATTCAATGTCGTCTTGGTAAGCAACTCCAGTGTATATTTAGCCTTGTGTTTTAGGTTATTGTCCTGCTGAAATGTAAATTTGTCTCCCAGTGTCTGTTGGAAAGCAGACTGAACCAGGTTTTCCTCTAGGATTTTGCCTGTGCTTAGCTCTATTCCATTTAATTTTATCCTAAAAAACTCCCTAGTCCTTGCCGATGACAAGCAAACCCATAACATGATGCAGTCACCACCATGCTTGAAAATATGAAGTGAGGTGTTGTGTTGGATTTGCCCCAAACATAACACTTTGTATTCAGGACTTAAAGTTAATTTCTTTGCCACATTCTTTGCAGTTTTATGTTAGTGCCTTATTGCAAACAGGATGCATGTTTCTGAATATTTTTATTCTGTACAGACTTCCTTCTTTTAACTCTGTCATTTAGGTTAGTATTAGGGTAGTATTGAAAATGACTCAGTTTCTTCCTATCACAGCCATTAAACTCTGTAACGGTTTTAAAGTCACCATTGGCCTCATGGTGAAATCCCTGAGCTGTTTCCTTCCTCTCCGGCAACTGAGTTAGGAAGGATGCCTGTATTTTTGTAGTGACTGGGTGTATTGATACACCCTCCAAAGTGTAATTAATAACTTCACCATGCTTAAAGGGATATTCAATGTCTGCTTTTTTTTACCGATCTACCAATAGGTGCCCTTCTTTGCATTGGAAAACCTCCCTGGTCTTTGTGGTTGAATCTGTGTTTGATATTCACTGCTCGACTGAGGGACCTTACAGAAAGTTGTATGTGTGGGGTACAGAGATGAGGTAGCCATTCAAAAATCATGTTAACCACTATTATTGCACACAGAGTGAGTCCATGCAACTTATTATGTGACTTTCTAAGCAATATTTTACTCCTGAACTTATTTAGGCTTCCCATAACAAGAATCCTTATTGACTCAAGACATTTCAGCTTTTCATTTTTTATTAATTTGTAAAAAAATCTATAAACATAATTCCACTTTGACATAATGGGGTATTGTGTGTAGGACAGTGACCCAAAATCTCAATTTACCCAATTTTAAATTCAGGCTGTAACACAACAAAATGTGGAAAGGGTCAAGGGGTGTGAATACTTTCTGAAGACACTGTACACTCTTAGAAAAAAGGGTTCCAAAATGGTTCTTCGGCTGTCCCCATAGGAGAACCCTTTTTGGTTACAACAGAAATTGTATTTGAATCCCATAATTTAGAATTTGAATTAGGATATGAATTTGAATGTAATATTTTATAATTTGTAATGGACATATTGAATCATTGAATTCATAAAATGAACTTGTATTTCATGATTTGAAACTGAATTGAATAAATATTGCATTCAGTTTTAAAATGCAATTTCAATTGAATGAATATTCAAATTCAATATTTAAACTGTTTAAATATGGTAGATATTGCATTAATGGTCTGTGTACAAACTCATTTCAAGTTGATCAAAGTTACATATATTCAACTTCTCAGATGCATGTTTTCAAATTCAGATCTCAAATTGAGATTCAAAACCTGAGACAACATCCTGGTACTTTGCCAGTCAGGAAAGGTAGAGGAGAACAAACGCTCTCTGTGTTAAAAGAGAAGCTTCTGGTGGTTTCTGAAGCCAATGTAGCTTGTTGAATTTATTTTAGTCATTACAACTAGGTCAAATAGGGGAAAGGCGCTGTGTTGTTAGGTGTTGTTGAATTTGTTTTTTAAAGCTAATTTTGCTGTTTGCTTGAGTAATTTGAGATGGAAGGGAGTTCCATATGATCATGGCTCTATATAATACTATGCGTTGCCTTGAATTCGTTCTGGATTTGGGGACTGGGAAGAGACCCCAGGTGGCATGTCTGGTGGGGTAAGTATATCTGTCAGAGCTATATGCAAGTTGATTATACAGACCATTTGGAAATTTTAACACAATTATATATTTCTCACAAAAACAAGAATTGATGCAGTTAATCTCTCATCAGCCCTCAACCAGGAAAGACTGGCATGCATGTTGTTGATGTTAGTTCTGTATGTTAAGGGCAAGGTTTGCTGCTCTGTTTTGAGCCATCTTCAGCTTTGCTAGGTCTTTCTTTGCTGCACTTAACCATATTACCAGACAGTAATCAAGATGGTACAAGACCAGAGCCTGAACAACTAGTACAGTTGATTTTTGTGTAAAAAACACAGAACATATTTTTATAACAGACATACCACTCCCCATCTTCACAACAACTTTGTTAATATGATTTGATAATAATAATTGACCATCCAATGTTATACCTAGGAGTTTAGCTTCCTCAACTTGCTCAATGGTCACACCCACAACTCCATTGGGGTTTAGGTCTTAGAGAATGTTTTGAACCAAATAGAATCCTTTTAGTTTTAGCTGTATTTAAGACCAGTTTATTGTTAATCACCCATTCTGATACTGACTGTAACTCCTTATTTAGAATTTCAGTGAGCTCACTGACTTTGGGTGCTGACATGTAGAGTGTGGAATCATCTGCATACATAGTTGTTCTAGCTTTGTTTAAGACCAGCGTCAAATCCTTTATAATAATAGAGAAGAGTAACGGCCCAAGTAGGCTGCCCTGAGGGACACCGCACTGTACATATCTGATGTTAGAGAAGCTTGCATTGAAGAACACTCTCTAGGTTCTATTGGCTAAATAGGAACACCTGCTATTTCCATGACATAGACTGACCAGGTGAAAGCTATGATCCCTTATTGATGTCACCTGTAAAATCCACTTCAATCAGTTTAGATGAAGTGGAGGAGACAGGTTAAAGAAGGATTTTTAAGCCTTGAGACAATTGAGACATTGAGATTGTGTATGTGTGCCATTCAGAGGGTGAATGGGCAAGACAAAAGATTTAAGTGCCTTTGAACGGGTATGGTAGTAGGTGCCAGGCGCACCGGTTTGATTGTGTCAAGAACTGGAACGCTGCTGGGTTTTTCACGCTCAACCGTTTCCCATGTGTATCAAGAATGGTCCACCACCCAAATGACATCCAGCAAACTTGACACAACTGTGGGAAGCATTGGAGACAACATGGGCCACCATCCCTGTTGAACGCTTTCGACACCTTGTAGTCCATGCCTGGACAAATTGAGGCTGTTTTGAGGGCAAAAGGGGGTGCAACACAATATTAGGAAGGTGTTCCTGATGTGTTGTACACTCAGTGTATATTCTCATGGGGGACCAAATCACGCTTTTTGTGACACTCCCTTCTAACGTGTCCTGCGCTGCCTGTGATCATCAAAGAGGGGATCAGAAGGCATGTCCATGTTCCAGAGAGCTTTCAGGTATGGCGTCATAATTCACCATATGACCAAAGGTATGTGGACACCTGTTTGTCGAACAACTCATTCCAAAATCATGGGCATTAATATGGAGTTGGTCACCCCCTTTGCTGCTATAACAGCCTTCACTCTTCTGGGAAGGCTTTCTACTAGATTGGAATATTGCTGTGGGGACTTGCTTCCATTCAGCCACAAGAGCATTAGTGAGGTCGGGCACTGATGTTGGGCGATTAGGCCTGGCTCATAGTCGGTATTCCAATTCATCCCAAAGGTGTTCGATGGGGTTGAGATCAGGGCTCTGTGCAGGCCAGTCAAGTTCATCCACACCGATCTCGACAAACCATTTCTGTTTGGACCTCGCTTTATGCACGGGGGCATTGTCATACTGAAACAGGAAAGGGCCTTCCCCAAACTGTTGCCACAAAGTTGGAAGCATAGAATAATCTAGAATGTCATTGTATGCTGTAGAGTTAAGATTTCCCTTCACTGGAACTAAGGGGCCTAGCCCGAACCATGAAGAACAGCCCCAGACCATTATTCCTCCTCCACCAACATTTACAGTTGGCACTATGCATTGTGGCAGGTAGCGTTGTCCTGGCATTCGTCGGACTGCCAGATGGTGAAGCGTGATTCATCACTGGGATGGTGTTCTTCGGTTTGTCGCTCCCTCAGGCTCATGCAGTGGAGGAGATCTTCGTGGTCTATACTCAGCATTATCTCAGGGTAATAGGTTGGTGATTTCCCTCTGGTGGTGTGGGGGCTGTGGTTTGTCAAAGTGGGTGGGGTTATATCCTGCCTGGTTGGCCCTGTCTGGGGGTATCATTGGACGGGGCCACAGTGTCTCCCGACCCCCGCTGTCTCAGCCTCCAGTATCTATGCTGCAATAGGCTATGTGCCGGGGGGCTAGGGTCAGTCTGTTATATCTGGTGTTATTCTCCTGTCTTATCCAGTGTCCTGTGTGAATTTAAGTATGCTCCCTCTAATTCTCCCTCTCTCCCTCCCCTCCTGGAGGACCTGAGCCCTAGGACCATGCCTCAGGACTACCTGGCCTGATGACTCCTTGCTGTCCCCAGTCCACCTGGTCGTGCTGCTACTCCAGTTTCCACTCTTCTGCCTGCGGCTATGGAACCCTGACCTGTTCACCGGACGTGCTGCCTTGTCCCAGACCTGCTGTTTTCAACTCTCTCTCTCTACCGCACCTGCTATTTCAACCTCTAAATGCCCGGCTATGACATTTACTCCTGACGTACTGACCTGTTGCAACCTCTACAACCACTGTGATTATTATTTGACCCTGCTGGTCATCTATGAACGTTTGAACATCTTGGAGAAATATCTGGCCTTAATGGCCATGTACTGTGTTAATCTCCACCCGGCACAGCCAGAAGGGGACTGGCCACCCCTTAGAGCCTGGTTCCTCTCTAGGTTTCTTCCTAGATTTCTGCCATTCTAGGGAGTTTTTCCTTGCCACCGTGCTTCTACATCTGCATTGCTTGCTGTTTGGGGTTTTAGGCTGGGTTTCTGTATAGCACTTTGTGGCATCTGCTGATGTAAAAAGGGCTTTATAAATCAAATTTGATTGATTGATTGATCATTCCAGAGAACTCGTTTCCACTGCTCCAGAGTCCAATGGCAGCGAGCTTTACACCACTCCAGCCGACACTTGGCATTGCACATGGTGATGTTAGGTTTGTGTGCGGCTGCTCGGCCATGGAAACCCATTTCACAAAACTCCCGACGAACAGTTATTGTGCTGACGTTGCTTCCAGAGGCAGTTTGGAACTCAGTAGTGAGTGTTGCAACCGAGGACAGATTTTTTTATGCGCTTCAGCACTCGGCGGTCCCGTTCTGTGAGCTTGTGTCGCCTACCACTTCGCGGCTGAGCCGTTGTTGCTCCTAGACGTTTCCACTAACAGCACTTACAGTTGACCGGGGCAGCTCTAGCAGGGCAGAAATTTGACGAACTGACTTGTTGGAAAGGTGGCATCCTATGACGGTGCCACGTTGAAAGTCACTGAGCTCTTCAGTAAGGCCATTTAACTGCCAATATTTGTCTATGGAGATTGCATGGATGTGTGCTCAATTTTTTACACCTGTCAGCAACGGGTGTGGCTGAAATAGCCTAATCCGCTAATTTGAAGGGGTGTCCACATACTTTTGTATCTGGGAAGGTAAATATTTGATCAACTTGAAATTAAAAGTTTGATACACAGACAATAAATGAAATATATACCATATTTAAACTGAATATTGAAATATTGAAATTGAACATTCATTTAAATTGAAATGCAATATTCATTCTGTTCAGTTTCAAATCATGAAATACAAGTTCAATTTATGAATTCAATGACTAAATTTGTGCATTACAAATACAAAAATATTACATTCAAATTCAATATCCTGATACAAATTCAAAATTATGAAATTCAAATTCAATTTCTGTTGGCACTGAAATCGCTCCATAGAACATATGCACCATGGATAGCGCCGCGGTTAATCAATTGCCTGCGAATCTGACTAAGCCCGCCGTGCTCTCGCTTTTGTAGTGTAACATCATTGAACAATGTTGCAAATGTCTAGGCTATTTCGGACCCAGTGTATCATCCATTTTGTTAACAGTGAGTGGCACATTTTGAGCCTCTGCCAGTGCCACACAGCTAGTTTGGAGATTGTCTACCGTAACTGTGTCGACAGGTTGCGTGTAGCCTATTTATGATAGTTAGCAATTCAAGCCATGAAAGTAAGAAAATAACTTTATGTTGAGTAAATATGGTAGGCTACTAGCGTTGATGACGGGTCGAATGTATGAATGAAGCCAGAGTTCATATGTCCGTTTCATGTAGCTATTTGCACCTGCACATTTTGTATTTTTTTTTGTGCGGCATAGAACGGCTATATTATTGGTCCACGGGTCCCGTCATTATTTTTCTTGGGAAACGGGAAGGAGCTTGGTCAGGGAAATTCTGAGATACCGGTCACCGGTATTAAACCCTAGCGTGTACCTGTCCATAATAACAAGGTCATCCCTCAGCAGGGCACACCTGGACTTGGGCCAGAACACCTTCACTAGGCAGCCTGAGTCTAGACTGCGCTCCATATGCAGGGCATGGGCCAGCTGATTGACAGACTGGAAGGGGGGGAAGAAGAAGAAGAAGCAGAGACATACACAAAGTAGTAGAACAGAGGGAAATAGACAGAGAATAACAGCGAGAGAAGGAGAGAAAGCATCAGCACTGTACGATCTAAAACTATTCTCCTCGCACTGTGTAGTCCGTGGTCCACGTCAAGATCAATTTAGCCAGTTCTACATTATCATTGCTAACACTTGTGTGTTGTACTGCACATCGAAAAAGGCTGGTCTAGTGTCAGCCTCCGGCACACGTCTACATTATCGGCATAGGTTTGAATCTGGCCTTCAGTTTTTCGGCACAACCTCTTTCTATCTTTCTCCACTTTCATTCTCTCTCAATATCTGTTCAATCAAATTGGAAAATCCCTAAAATATGAATATACAGTGAGGGAAAAAATATTTGATCCCCTGCTGATTTTGTACATTTGCCCACTGACAAAGACATGATCAGTCTATAATTTTAGTGGTTGGTTTATTTGAACAGTGAGAGACAGAATAACAACAACCAAATCCAGAAAAACGCATGTCAAAAATGTTATTAATTGATTTGCATTTTAATGAGGGAAATAAGTATTTGACCCCTCTGCAAAACATGACTTAGTACTTGGTGGCAAAACCCTTGTTGGCAATCACAGAGGTCAGACGTTTCTTGTAGTTGGCCACCAGGTTTGCATACATCTCAGGAGGGATTTTGTCCCACTCCTCTTTGCAGATCTTCTCCAAGTCATTAAGGTTTCGAGGCTGACGTTTGGCAACTCGAACATTCAGCTCCCTCCACAGATTTTCTATGGGATTAAGGTCTGGAGACTGGCTAAGCCACTCTAGGACCTTAATGTGCTTCTTCTTGAGCCACTCCTTTGTTGCCTTGGCTGTGTGTTTTGGGTCATTGTCATGCTGGAATACCCATCCACGACCCATTTTCAATGCCCTGGCTGTTCTCACCCAAGATTTGACGGTACATGGCCCCGTCCATCGTCCCTTTGATGCGGTGAAGTTGTTCTGTCCCCTTAGCAGAAAAACACCCCCAAAGCATAATGTTTCCACCTCCATGTTTGACAGTGGGGATGGTGTTCTTGGGGTCATAGGCAAGCATTCCTCCTCCTCCAAACACGGCGATATGAGATGATGCCAAAGAGCTCGATCTTGGTCTCATCTGACCACAACAGGATTTCAGTCCTTCACGGCGTAGTGTGTTACCAATTGTTTTCTTGGTGACTATGGTCCCAGCTGCCTTGAGATAATGGACATGATCCTCTCGTGTAGTTCTGGGCTGATTCCTCACCGTTCTCATGATCATTACAATTCCACGAGGTGAGATCTTGCATGGAGCCCCAGGCCGAGGGAGATTGACAGTTCTTTTGTGTTTCTTCCATTTGCAAATAATCGCACCAACTGTTGTCACCTTCTCACCAAGCTGCTTGGTGATGGTCTTGTAGCCCAATCCAGCCTTCTGTAGGTCTACAATCTTGTCCCTGACATCCTTGGAGAGCTCTTTGGTCTTGGCCATGGTGGAGAGTTTGGAATCTGATTGATTGATTGCTTCTGTGGACAAGTGTGTTTTATACAGGTAACAAACTGAGATTAGGAGCACTCCCTTTAAGAGTGTGCTCCTAATCTTAGCTCGTTACCTGTATAAAAGACACCTGGGAGCCAGAAATCTTTCTGATAGAGAGGGGGTCAAATACTTATTTCCCTAATTAAAATGCAAATCAATTTATAACATTTTTGACATGCGTTTTTCTGGATTTTTTTGTTGTTATTCTGTCTCTCACTGTTCAAATAAACCTACCATTAATATTATAGACTGATCATTTCTTTGTCAGTGGGCAAGCGTACAAAATCAGCAGGGGATCAAATGCTTTTTTCCCTCACTGTATATATATACACAGTAGATCAGTCTGCGACCCCCTGGTTTGACCACAGACCTTGACGCTTTTTCTGTCATCAGAGCCCTCGGTGGTGAGGTAGGCCTCGTCCCTGTCTGTGCCCTCCACCCTCAGAAAGCAGTTGGTGGTGTGGCCAATGCCGCTGGGCAGCACACGGTCCCTCAGCATGGCATTGATCACCGTGCTCTTACCGTTACTTGTCCTGCCAGGGAGAGGAAATGTCTCTTTACTCCTTTGACAGAAATGTTTACAATTATGGTCGCAACCACATTAATTATGGTTAACCTGCTGAGATAAAGCCTAGGTAGCTCAGCAAGCTAGCACACATCTTCCACCTCTGTTACACTAACTTTGGGGAAAATAATTCTGCACATCCAAAGTTCTGGTACTAATGTTTACCTATGCTGTATCAATAGTTACACCATACTAATATACCTAGGTAGTATGAAAAACATCTGGAATAACTGTGAGACTACTTAATTATACCAATCCAGCAACAAACTGTATAATATAAATGTCCTTTACATATGGACCCTCAATAATGTTGTGTTGATTATTGGGTTCAATTCTATTTCCCATAAACCATTGACTCTCACCTCCCAAAAAAGGCTACCTTCATGTGCCTGCGAGCCAGCACCTCCTGAATGGTGGCCAGTTTCCTAGCACAGGTCTGGATTTCAAGGCACTGCTCCTCGACTGCGACCTGCTCCAGATCCGCACTTCGCCATGTCTCTGGGCATCACAGAAGCAGATAGACAAGAATGGATATTGTGGTAGATGACAACTAAAAACCCCACACTAGTGTAAGGTAGCCCACCATGTGGACGTGTTAATATGTAATAGGTAGCCACGCAAAAGTTAACAAGGCAATTGTCTGAAGCGTACCCTTTGAGATGCAGATTATAGCATAAGACCATCTATACCTATGATGTTATGTATAAATCTTTATTAAAACTATAAAATGCTATTGATGCTAATAATCAATAGATGCTAATTGATGCTTATCTTACCATCCACAAACTCTGAGCTCTCTTTGACATACTCCAGCAGCTTATCAAATATACCGTTGATAGTCTTCTTCGCCACCACAAAATGCATGAGGGGCGAGGGGCCCCCCGGGTCCATTTCAACTTCCTGAGCATAGTGTTTAGATTAACTCATAGGCACAGACAAACTGACTGACAGGCAGGCAGGCAGACAGACAGGTGACACACAGGCACACATTATGCAAATACAATACACACATGCACACACAGTCTGTCAGTACCTTGGCTAGGGGAAAGTTGCAGTGAGAAAAATCTTCACAGAGGTTCTGGATTAATTTGCTTCCCAATCAATGCCATTAGAAGGTGTTGAGAAGCATAGCTGCAGGACAAGAATTGACAACCCTTCCAATCCCTAAATGATCAAATACACCTGCTTTGCCCAATTAAATTCTGTTCTCCATTAGATCATCTGTTTATGCACCCGTACACTCTCATTTCCACTTCTTTCTATTCTTCATACACAATCTGTTTCACCTCCACTCTCTTCCTCTCACTCTCCAGCATACAACCTGGGTTTACCTGCTTTCTGTCTATAAGATCAGATCACTGAAGCGCAGTGGACTTACACAGCCTTTCCAGCTGATGTGTGTGTGTGTGTGTTGATGTGTGTGTGTGTGTGTGTGTGTGTGTGAGGAGCCTGTGAATCTCCAATCCTCTTAGCTAGGACTTAATGCATCAGGTGGTTAGGTGTTACGCGTCTAGTTTCTTTACCTGCAGCATCTACTATGAATAGAAATACTATCCTTTAGTAATGTTCACTGGCTTAAACTGGGCCTAAATACAGATTGGGTACTTGTCAAATAAAATAAAATGTTATTTGTCACGTGCGCCGAATACAACTGGTGTAGACCTTACACTGAAATGCTTACTTAAAAGCCCTTAACCAACAATGCAATTTTAAGAAAGAATACCAAAAAAAATACAAAAAAAACATTCAATAAAAAAATTATAAGAAATAAAAGTAACAAATAATGAAAGAGCAGCAATAAAATAACAATAGCGAGGCTATATACAGGGGGTACCGGTACCGAGTCAATGTGCGGGGGCAACGGTTAGTCGAGGTAATTGAGGTAATAGGTACATGTAGGTAGAGTTATTAAAGTGACCACTGCTCCTGAGTGGCGCAGTGGTCTAAGGCACTGCATCGCAGTGCTAACTGTGCCACTAGAGATCCTGGTTCGAATCCAGGCTCTGTCGCAGCCGGCCGCGACCGGGAGACTCATGGGCGGCGCACAATTGGCCCAGCGTCGTCCAGGGTAGGGGAGGGAATGGCCGGCAGGGATGTAGCTCAGTTGATAGAGCATGGCGTTTGCAACGCCAGGGTTGTGGGTTTGATTCCCACAGGGGGCCAGTATAAAAAAATATGTATTCACTAACTGTAAGTCGCTCTGGATAAGAGCGTCTGCTAAATGACTAAAATGTAAATGTAAAATAATAAACAGAGAGTAGCAGCAGCGTAAAAGAGGGGGGTGGGGGAGGGGCAATGCAATTAGTCTGGGTAGCCATTTGATTAGATGTTCAGGAGTCTTATGGCTTGGGGGTAGAAGCTGTTTAGAAGCCTCTTGGACCTAGACTTGGCGCTCCGGTACCGCTTGCTGTGCGGTAGCAGAGAGAACAGTCTATGACTAGGGTGGCTGGAGTCTTTGACAATTTTTAGGGCCTTCCTCTGACACCGCCTGGTATAGAGGTCCTGGATGGCAGGAAGCTTGGCCCTAGTGATGTACTGGGCCGTACACACTACCCTCTGTAGTGCCTTGCGGTCGGAGGCCGAGCAGTTGCCATACCAGGCAGTGATGCAGCCAGTCAGGATGCTCTCGATGGTGCAGCTGTAGAAATTTTTGAGGATCTGAGGACCAATGCCAAATCTTTTCAGTCTCCTTAGGGGGAATAGGTTGTGCTGTGCCCTCTTTACGACTGTCTTGGTGTGCTTGGACCATGTTCGTTTGTTGGTAATGTGGACACCAAGGAACTTGAAGCTCTCAACCTACTCCACTACAGCCCCGTCGATGAGAATGGGGGCGTGCTCAGTCCTCTTCTTTTTCCTGTAGTCCACAATCTTCTCCTTTGTCTTGATCACATTGAGGGAGAGGTTAATGTCTCTGACCTCCTCCCTCTAGGCTGTCTCGTCGTTGTCGGTGATCAGGCCTACCACAGTTTTGTCATCGGCAAACGTAATGATGGTGTTGGAGTCTGGCCATGCCTGGCCATGCAGTCATGAGTGAACAGGGAGTACAGGAGGGGATTGAGCACGTACCCCTAGATATTGTGCACCAGTTGTTGTTTGCAAATATACATAGACCGCCACCCCTTGTCTTAACAGAGGCTGCTGTTCTATCCTGCCGATACAGTGTATAACCCGCCAGCTGTATGTTATTCATGTCGTTGTTCAGCCACGACTCGGTGAAACATAAGATATTACAGTTTTTAATGTCCTGTTGGTAGGATATATGTGCTTCTAGTTCGTCCACTATATTATCAAGAGATTGCACGTTGTTAAAGGCAGATTAGCCACTCGTCGCCAGCTCCTTACCATGCACCCCGATCTCCTTTCGCAAGATCTTATTTTATTTTTTACTGTGAATGAAGGGGATGAGGGCCCTGTCGGGTGTCTGGAGCAAATCCCTCTCGTCTGACTCATTAAATAAACATTATTTGTCCAGTTCAAGGTGAGTAATCGCTGTACCACTGTTGTGTCATTCGGCAAACTTAATGATGGTGTTGGAGTCGTGCCTGGCCATGCAGTCATGAGTGAACAGGGAGTACAGGAGGGGACTGAGCACTACCCCTGAGGGGCCCCCGTGTGAGGATCAGTGGCGATGTGTTGTTACCTACCCTTACCACCTGGGGCAGCCGTCAGGAGTCAGGATCCAGTTTCAGAGGCGTTTTGCTTAATTTACTTTCTCTGTCTTTTCTTTTTTCTTCTCCTTTCTTTTTCTTTTCTCTTTTTTTTCTCTTCTAGTTTTTCTGTTCTAGGTTACAGTACACAGAAAAAATAGTTCTCTTCATCGTCACCGTGTACATACTATGGGTGTCAACGACCAATCATATTCTCCTGAAGAAAACTGAAATCATGCCTAACGGGCCAATGGATGCCGAGCCCGCCCTCGGAAAACCCGCCTTTCTGGCTATAATACCAGGACTTGCATCCATTTCCTTAATTGTTCGCTCTTCGGCTCGCCTGAAGGAAGAACGTGTCACGCAATTTACTAACTTTTCAAGCACACAAAGACTACGAGATTCTGCTTCAACTTAGGTGTCTGTTAGTGGGGAGAGAGCACTCATCCCCCTAGATGTTGCGAGTTTGGGGTTTTGGTATCTGTTTTTGTGTTTGCTAAAAGCTAACTACTTTCTGCTCTGCTCTGCTTGTGTAGCTAATGCTTCCTTGCTTGGGTAGGATTTGTGTTTGCTACACACCCTATCCTCTATACCAGTGGCGGCTCCTGAAAAAATTCTCAGGAGGGGCAATTTTTCTGATGATTTAGGTGACCTACACACGTGCACGAGTCCGTGCACGCGATTCCAGATATCTTTACCTCTGAATAAACTGCCTTTATTATACCATATCCACCCTGTCCAAAGTCTCTACTTGGTCTCAGTTCTCCAGTAAACTTGTGATTATCAACAGTACACAACGGTAACAAACAATTGGGGGAACTCACGGGGCAGATAGTAACCACTTAAAAGGAAGCGATTCCCAAACCTTCCATAACAAAGCCATCACCTACAGAGAGATGAACTTGGAGAAGAGTCCCCTAAGTAAGCTTGTCCTGGGCCTCTGTTCACAAAACACAAACAGACCCCACACAGCCCCAGGACAACAACAACAAACACAACAACAACACAATTAGACCCAACCAAATCATGAGAAAACAAAAAGAGAATTACTTGACACATTGGAAAGAACAAACAAAAAAAACAGAGCAAACTAGAATGCTATTTGGCCCTAAACAGAGAGTACACAGTGGCAGAATACCTGACCACTGTGACTGACCCAAACTTAATGAAAGCTTTGACTATGTACAGACTCAGTGACCATAGCCTTGCTATTGAGAAAGGCCGCCGTAGGCAGACCTGGCTCTCAAGAGAAGACAGGCTATGTGCACACTGCCCACAAAATGAGGTGGAAACTGAGCTGCACTTCCTAACCTCCTGCCAAATGTATGACCATATTAGAGACACATATTTCCCTCAGATTACAGCGATCCACAAAGAATTCGAAAACAAACCCAATTTTGATAAACTCCCTTATCTACTGGGTGAAAAACCACAGTGTGCCATCACAGCTGCAAGATTTGTGACCTGTTGCCACAAGAAAAGGGCAACCAGTGAAGAACAAACACCATTGTAAATACAACCCATATTTATGTTTATTTATTTTCCCATTTGTACTTTAACTATTTGCACATTGTAACAACACTGTATATATACATAATATGACATTTGAAATGTCTTTATTCTTTTGAAACTTCTGAGTGTAATGTTTACTGTTAATATTTATTGTTTATTTCACTTTTGTTTACTATCTACTTCCCTTGCTTTGGCAATGTTAACACACGTTTCCCATGCCAATAAAGCCCTTAAATTGAATTGAATTGATAGTAAGGTCGCAATGACACAGAAAGCAGTTCAATGTCGGGGTACAGAGTCGCTCTCTTACCAGGATCGCGGTCCGCTCTGACCAGGGTGAAGGTGGCCGGCTCCACTTCTCTGTCCGGGACTCATCCAGCCAAGTCTCCCAGCTGTATTGGGATTCAGCTGCCAGCAGCGTTTTCATTATTTAGTCCGTTCGTAGCGGGTATGTACACGATCAACAAGATCAGTCCAAAACCAACCACTGGAAATCCATGGTTGGCAGAATGTTTGTAAACTAAGTCTACAAATTAAAAACATAAAATAACGCCGCACTGCAGGTCGCAACAGAGACGCTTCTAGCCGCCATTGTCTTAGTTACGTTCAACGTTACGTCACGTATGACGAAAGCGCGTAAGTGCAAGCCCACAGACACCCATAGAGAATGTATTGAAAGCTTTGAAATGTGAAAAAAATAGATTTTACATGACAGGCTATGAGAGACTTCTGGGCGATTTTCAACTTGACTGAAATCGCCCCAAAAACGGGCGGGGCCATTTGAAGCACGACTTTAGCCTGATTTGACATTTAGTGGCTGGCAGATCAGACGTGAACACTGATAACTGCTGTTGCCGTGATATAATTGATTAGAAAAAAAAATCCCTTCCTTTTCCCGTTTGGCAGTGCGTCGCCCATATCGCCCTATTGAACAAGCCGTCCCTGCTCTATACTCTGCTTTTGTAGCCAGTGTTTCCTTGCTTGAGTAAGATGGCCAGTGGTAAGAGTAAGTTCAAAAAGGCTAACCAGACGAGTTTGAACCTCCGACGTGCACTAGGGCAGGTGGTTTCACAATGAAGATTAAAGATACTCACGAGTGCTGTCCTGTTTGCCTGGGGTGGAAACACACTCAGGAGGCTTTGGCTTGGACCAGTTTGTGTGACCATTGTCTCCAGCTCGGCTCAAATTCCATTGGGAGTCCGTCGGCTTTTATTAATATTTTTTTGGGGGGGGGGGGGGGGGGCTGGCGTTGTGAGAAAGATTAGGGCTGCTGGCGAAGGGTCTTCCGGTGAAGCGACCTTGGGAATGGGGTTGTCTGAGGCTGGGAGAAAGCAGCAGCGGTGGTCGGTCTTGATAGGGATGTCATCCCAGCCGAGTGAATATTATTCTGTAATATAATTTTAAAAAATCCCCATCAAAATCTGTCAGTTTAAACTAGATATCAGGTTTTTTGCATGGGCTGTCTCAAACCACCACATCCGCCTATGTAACCATTCCACATCTGCCGTGGAAGCTGGCCGAGCTACTGCGACGTTTGTCAGACCATGAGACATCCCAAAAATCAGTCTTCTCACGAAACTGTAGCGTCTGAACGGTTTGGCCTTCAAACTATTATGACCACTCAATGGAAAGGGGAGACTCTCATGAACATGATGGTGTTCTCCTTTGCTCTATGACCCCACAACTGTCACGGAAATCGTCTGAAGGTAACCCATAGAAACGAATGGAAGTATCGTAGTAGTTTTATGGCAAGAAAAATAAGGGGTAAAATGTGTCCACAAATTAAATAAAACATTTCTGAATTGTCTTACATCTCAAAAATATAGGAGTGTCAAGGTCGAGGTAAGGAGTAGACCAAGGCGCAGCGTGATGAACAAACATGACTTTAATTAGTTAAAGCGTCAAAATACAAAACAAAACACGACTCGTGACGTCCACGGTATCAAAGACCGAACACGGAACAAAAACCCACAACCACAAAGGGAAAACATACAGTTTAAATATGGCTCCCAATCAGAGACAACCAGGCAACAGCTGACACTCGTTGCCTCTGATTGGGAGTCACTCAGGCAAACATAGAATACAACAAACTAGAATGAACACCAACATAGAAATGAACACACCCTGGCTCAACATAATGAGTCCCAGAGCCAGGGTGTGACAGTACCCCCCCCCTAAAGGCGCGGACTGCGACCGCGCCTCTACTAAACAAACCAGGGGAGGGGAGGGCTGGGCGGGCATACCTCCTCGGCGGCGGTTCTGGCTCCGGCCTTGACCACCATCCTCCAATACACCCCCCATAGTGCCCCTGGTCCAGTCTGGCCCCGCCGGCTGGAGCAGGACTGGACTTAACAGGAGCGATCCTTACCAGGCTGTCGACTCGCACCCCTGGCTTGGTGCGTGGAGGAGGAACGGGCCTTACCAGGCTGACGACTCGCACCCCTGGCTTTGTGCGTGGAGGAGGAACGGGCCTTACCAGGCTGACGACTCGCACCCCTGGCTTTGTGCGTGGAGGAGGAACGGGCCTTACCAGGCTGACGACTCGCACCCCTGGCTTGGTGCGTGGAAGAGGGACGGGCCTTACCAGGCTGACTTCTCGCACCCCTGGCTTAGTGCGAGTGGCAGGAACAGGCCGGACCGGGCTGGCGACGCGCACCGTAGGTTTGGTGCGAGTGGCAGGAACAGGCCGGGTCGGGCTGGCGACGCGCACCGTAGACTTGGTGCGGGTGGCAGGGACAGGCCGGACCGGGCTGGCGACGCGCACCGTAGGTTTGGTGCGAGTGGCAGGAACAGGCCGGGTCGGGCTGGCGACGCGCACCGTAGGTTTGGTGCGAGTGGCAGGAACAGGCCGGGTCGGGCTGGCGACGCGCACCGTAGACTTGGTGCGGGTGGCAGGAACAGGCCGGACCGGGCTGGCGACGCGCACCGTAGGTTTGGTGCGTGGAGCAGGGACAGGCCGGACTGGGCTGGCGACGCACACCGTAGGCTTGGTGCGTGGAGCAGGGACAGGCCGGACTGGGCTGGCGACGCACACCGTAGGCTTGGTGCGTGGAGCAGGAACAGGCCGGGCTGGGCTGTCGACGCACACCGTAGGCTTGGTGCGTGGAGCAGGGACAGGCCGGACTGGGCTGGCGACGCACACCGTAGGCTTGGTGCGTGGAGCAGGAACAGGCCGGGCTGGGCTGTCGACGCACACCGTAGGCTTGGTGCGTGGAGCAGGGACAGGCCGGACTGGGCTGGCGACGCACACCGTAGGCTTGGTGCGTGGAGCAGGGACAGGCCGGGCTGGGCTGGCGACGCACACCGTAGGCTTGGTGCGTGGAGCAGGGACAGGCCGGGCTGGGCTGGCGACGCACACCGTAGGCTTGGTGCGTGGAGCAGGGACAGGCCGAACCGGGCTGTGGAGACGGATAGGAGGCCTGGAGTGAAGAGCGGCCACCACCCGTCCTGGCTGAATGCCTACCCTCACACACTCTGTGTGAGGCATCCGCACAGGACGTACAGGGCGGTGAACCCCTGGCCTGGTGGCCTTCTGGATCCGCCCCCTTTTCTCCTCCGTCAGCCCCGTCGTCCATGCCGTGTGCCCCCCCCCTAAAAATTTTCTGGGGTTGCCTCACGACCGTCCGACGACGACCCTGATCACGCCGTTGCTCCTCTCTCCGTCGCCTCTCCACTGTCTCACTCCATGGCCGGCGATCCATCCCGGCCAGGATTTCCCCCCAAGTCCAGGACCCTTTACCGTCCAATATATCCTCCCATGTCCAGGCTGCCTGCTCCTGGACACGCTGCTCCTCTTTCGCCAGGGCCTTTCCCGGCGCTTCCTCCCATGTCCACCCCAAGGGCTGCCCCTGGACACGCTGCTTGGTCGTTGCATGGTGGGTTTTTCTGTCAAGGTCGAGGTAAGGAGTAGACCAAGGCGCAGCGTGATGAACAAACATGACTTTAATTAGTTAAAGCGTCAAAATACAAAACAAAACACGACTCGTGACGTCCACGGTATCAAAGACCGAACACGGAACAAAAACCCACAACCACAAAGGGAAAACATACAGTTTAAATATGGCTCCCAATCAGAGACAACCAGGCAACAGCTGACACTCGTTGCCTCTGATTGGGAGTCACTCAGGCAAACATAGAATACAACAAACTAGAATGAACACCAACATAGAAATGAACACACCCTGGCTCAACATAATGAGTCCCAGAGCCAGGGTGTGACAAGGAGAGACATTTCAAAACCTTATTCCTTATTATTTATTTTAACTGTCTTTTTTGCCATTTATAAATGTGTTATTCAATGCGTTTCTATGGGCTGTAGTAAAGGCCAATTTCAATATATATATATATATATATATATATATATATATATATATATATATAGTGAGGAAAAAAAGTATTTGATCCCCTGCTGATTTTGTACGTTTGCCCACTGACAAAGAAATGATCAGTCTATAATTTTAATGGTAGGTTTATTTGAACAGTGAGAGACAGAATAACAACAAAAAAATCCAGAAAAACCCATCTCAAAAATTTTAAAAATGGACTTGCATTTTATTGAGGGAAATAAGTATTTGACCCCTCTGCAAAACATGACTTAGTACTTGGTGGCAAAACCCTTGTTGGCAATCACAGAGGTCAGACGTTTCTTGTAGTTGGCCACCAGGTTTGCACACATCTCAGGAGGGATTTTGACCCACTCCTCTTTGCAGATCTTCTCCAAGTCATTAAGATTTCGAGACTGACGTTTGGCAACTCGAACCTTCAGCTCCCTCCACAGATTTTCTATGGGATTAAGGTCTGGAGACTGGCTAGGCCATTCCAGGACCTTAATGTGCTTCTTCTTGAGCCACTCCTTTGTTGCCTTGGCTGTGTGTTTTGGGTCATTGTCATGCTGGAATACCCATCCACGACCCATTTTCAATGCCCTGGCTGAGGGAAGGAGGTTCTCACCCAAGATTTGACGGTACATGGCCCCGTCCATCGTCCCTTTGATGTGGTGAAGTTGTCCTGTCCCCTTAGCAGAAAAACACCCCCAAAGCATAATGTTTCCACCTCCATGTTTGACGGTGGGGATGGTGTTCTTGGGGTCATAGGCAGCATTCCTTCTCCAAACACGGCGAGTTGAGTTGATGCCAAAGAGCTCCATTTTGGTCTCATCTGACAACAACACTTTCACCCAGTTCTCCTCTGAATCATTCAGATGTTCATTGGCAAACTTCAGACGAGCAAGTATATGTGCTTTCTTGAGCAGAGGGACCTTGCGGGCGCTGCAGGATTTCAGTCCTTCACGGCGTAGTGTGTTACCAATTGTTTTCTTGGTGACTATGGTCCCAGCTGCCTTGAGATCATTGACAATATCATCCCGTGTAGTTCTGGGCTGATTCCTCACCGTTCTCATGATCATTGCAACTCCACGAAGTGAGATCTTGCATGGAGCCCCAGGCCGAGGGAGATTGACAGTTCGTTTGTGTTTCTTCCATTTGCGAATAATCGCACCAACTGTTGTCACCTTCTCACCAAGCTGCTTGGCGATGGTCTTGTAGCCCATTCCAGCCTTCTGTATGTCTACAATCTTGTCCCTGACATCCTTGGAGAGCTCTTTGGTCTTGGCCATGGTGGAGAGTTTGGAATCTGATTGATTGATTGCTTCTGTGGACAGGTGTGTTTTATACAGGTAACAAGCTGAGATTAGGAGCACTCCCTTCAAGAATGTGCTCCTAATCTCAGCTCGTTACCTGTATAAAAGAAACCTGGGAGCCAGAAATCTTTCTGATTGAGAGGGGGTCAAATACTTATTTCCCTCATTAAAATGCAAATCAATTTATAACATTTCTGACATGCGTTTTTCTGGATTTTTTGTTGTTATTCTGTCTCTCACTGTTCAAATAAACCTACCATTAAAATTATAGACTGATCATTTATTTGTCAGTGGGCAAACGTACAAAATCATTTTAAAATCAGCTTAATATTGCAGATAGATTGTATATTCTTTCAATGTAATTGTCTGCATCACTTCCAATCCCCCATGTTTTTTTTGTATATACAGTGGGGGGAAAAAGTATTTAGTCAGCCACCAATTGTGCAAGTTCTCCCACTTAAAAAGATGAGAGAGGCCTGTAATTTTCATCATAGGTACACGTCAACTATGACAGACAAGTTGAGGAAAAAAAAATCCAGAAAATCACATTGTAGGATTTTTAATGAATTTATTTGCAAATTATGGTGGAAAATAAGTATTTAGTCACCTACAAACAAGCAAGATTTCTGGCTCTCACAGACCTGTAACTTCTTTAGTAATTTTTATGTGCACTATGTCATCACGCAAAGCCTTTTATCCTCAAAAAGTATGTTTGATGGAAACACATCTCTGGTGGGAAAATGTGCATGTTGTTTTATGCAGATTTTAGAATATTCGCATTAAAATCTGTCGCAAATTGGATGGAAACCTACCTAATGTCTTGGAGTGTGCAGTTATGCAAAACAGATTATGGAATGCTGTTTCTTTCATTCAAGGTTTACAAAATACTATCATCTAATTTCCCCATCAATCTCCCTATGCCTATCCACTATTTAAACTTACAGGCTGCAAGTCAATGAAGGACTTTCAGGTCATTGAAGCTGGGTCTGAATGTCTTCCTGCCAATCTTGTAGACTGGTGTTGGGAGGACCACTGGCAGAAGTCTCAAAGCAATGTCACCTTGTGTATCTGGAGAGAAGAAAGTTTAGTGAATAACTTGATTGTTTCAGGCTAAAAATGAATGAGCATCTGTGGCACCACCAGCAGGGTCATTTCAAACTATACTTGCACTTTGAAGAGAAGATCTTGGGCCTGTTTCCCTTGGCTGGGGAAGCGAAGTTTTTTTTCCTTGAAGACCTCGATCCAGTTATCAGTGAGTTTCCCCGAGCAGGTTTAAAATGTAGAAGTCCTGACCAATCTGTAGTAAAGCAAACAATTAAATTTTTTGTAATATGTGACGGACCGGCTCAATTCGTCTTATTTAGCAAAATGTGAAATTGTGATTTTTACATTGGAAAAAAGTAGTGACTCAGAGCTACAAAATGGTATATCTTACACTACAGTTGAGGAACAATGGGAAAGTAATGCTGCTTTGAAAGTTGATAAACTTGTAACCCCACTTTTGAGAAAATGGCCCTTGAATGTTTTGGTAAACCTACTGGAGAGCTCTTCTGGTACACCCATTCAGCATCATTCACACCCTCTTAAGCCTTAGCCCCACCCATCTCTTTAAGGATTTACATGCGAGGCCATGCACTAAACAACCAAAAATGTCAAGACTAAAGGCTGGTTTCTACGTCTATCGACAGTTGTTGCAGTGAAATCATGAACATTCTATTGTCGTCCGACATCAAACTTGTCATTGTCTTTATGAAAAAGTATAATCACAAAAACGACAGGCTGCATAACATCAGCAACCAGGTGGTCCAAAATAGCATAACTGATGTATTTTAACACCAATAAACCCACCCGTTTAAAAATGAATTTAGTATATGTCAATCTAGAAACTAAACAATGCTTTGGTTTGTTTCTAGCTTGTTAGCTAGCTAGCTAATGTTAAATTAGCTGGCTAGCCAGTTCATATAGCTGACAACGTCTTGACTTTATCTAATTTGTATTCATTATTACAGGAAAATAAACTCACAACAAGATCATTACTTACAAGTTAATGGCGAGCCAATTACAGAAAATAGCTTACGGTTGTGAGTGTGACTAAATAAAATCAGGGCATTCTACCAGAGAATTTTAGAACTAAGCCACTGGCCTAGCTTTATATCCTAATTTGACTTTGCTGCAGGTAATGTTGTTCTTCACATTACCGTCTCTTTTAAACACATACTATATCAAATAAAATCTAAGTTTATTTGTCACATGCACAGGATACAGAAGGTGTAAACGGTATAGTGAAATGGTTACTTGCATAGTGGAGTTTTTTGTTTAGACATGTAGCTAGCTAGCTACCCAGGTAGCACAAACATCTGGCCCATATCTATAATATATAATATATAATATGCCATTTAGCAGACGCTTTTATCCAAAGTGACTTACAGTCGTGCGTGCATAATTATTTTTTTTGTGTATATCTGGCCTGATTCCGGCATGCCAGATCTAAGACTGCTGGCCCGGGTCTTGGAGCCGGATCCAGCCCGAGTCCGAAATGAATGATGGTACAGACTAGACCCGAGTCATTCGTTCCAGATCTGGCAGCCTGAACTGAGCCAAAGCTGCCATTTTAGGGCCCAGCAATGGCCCAAATCCAAATCCACTCTTCCCCCTTACCCACAATATATATATATATTGCTGGGTAAGGTGTATATATATATATATTAAATGTAGGTAGTAATATTATATTAAATGTAGGTAGTAATATTCCAGCTATTAACTGAACTATGAACAACAGAAACATAAAAAAGACGTGACATTTTCTCATTTTAAAGCTTTTATTTAAATAGATGAAATTGACTTTGTGTGGGTGTCATCCCTCAACAGGCACTGCGTATGTACTGTAGCATGGATGCATCCAAATAAATGTCACCAGAAAACAGCTTAAACAAAGCAAATGCAGCTACTGTTGTTATTCTGGCTGCAGTGTTAGCCATAGTTGGCTAGCTAGCAAGCAAGGGATAAGAACATTGCCAGCCTGCATAGCAATCAAACAAATGATGAACAACAAGTCCGCTTGTCTAGCAACCTAACAACCAGGTTTAGTGGACGGAAGAAAGAGTATGAATTTACTTATCAAAATGAAAATCTCAATGAAAACATGTCATTTTTACTAGTAAATGTGTGCTTGTTTTCTTTGGCAACAGTGATATAAGCGGGATAAACGCCACCGCTCTGTACATTATCTAGAACGAATAAAGTTGGGCAGTACCAAATCGTCCATTATTTCCAGATAATGTACAAAGCGTCAGTGTTTATCCCTTACATGTATGTGTGTAAATGTATCTATGTCTCTCTGGGTCTATCCGCCCTTTCCTTGCTGTGTTCGGTCCTATACTTTCTGCCTCCGTCTCTGTCTGGTGCAAGCTGCAGCCTTTGGATGTGAAAGTGTTTCTCCTGACAGCACCTTTGAATTACAGAAAAAAATAGCGAAATAAGTAGTTACAACAATTAGTCAGATTTTGACACCACACAAAATTCCTAGGAATCACAATCCAGACCTCAAATGGGAAGCAAATCAACACAACACAATAACTACAGAGGTTTTCAATTTCAACACCGAGTCAAACAGATCAAGAGATATAAATATGTGCCTGTTGTAGTGCCACCGTGTGGTCAATCTGAATGTGCTCGCATTTGTTAAGTCTTGACAGGGTTTGGAACATGTGTTCCAGGTTTGGTTACAATACAAATATCTGTGTCTGATTTATATGCCAGACCACACCCACATGAATGTTTATTGGTCAGTTGTTTATTGCGTTGAAAGCATTGGTCCATAGATGCCATCCATATATCAAGTTTCTTCCAGATCGGCCCTGTGGTTCCGGAGGAGATGTCATTTAAGTGTTTTTCTAAAATTCAAAATGTTCTTGTGAGAAGATGGAACTATGCACAGAATTTCAGGACTCTAGGTCAGGGATGGGCAACTGGCGACACGCAGGCCGCAAAGATCTCAGATCAACTTCTCTCTGAAAATCATTATTTTCTATGATCTATTGTCAGGCTATGTCATAATAGTATTCTAATTCGTAATTCTATGGTCAGGCCACTGTCTGTCTCTCACACCAGTCTCTCTTATCTTGTGTCCCCTGCACAGTATTCATGGATACAGCTCTCAGATGATAAACATATGGTCCATGCTATTCAGCTTCCTTTGAACGTCCCTACCCCACTGAAGTTGACAATTAAAATGATTAAGGGTAGGTAAGGGATTTGGTTATGTGTAAGGTTAGGGTAAGGACATCCCAAGGATCCCAGTTAGCACTGACCATAAACATATAGGAACTATGGATGCAAGGATTGGCCATCCATTATATACAAATTATAGTTTTAACCATGTTTTACATTTACATTACATTTTAGTCATTTAGCAGACGCTCTTATCCAGAGCGACTTACAGTTAGTGAATACATATTTTTTTATACTGGCCCCCCGTGGGAATCGAACCCACAACCCTGGCATTGCAAACGCCATGCTCTATCAACTGAACTACATCCCTGCCGGCCATTCCCTCCCCTACCCTGGACGACGCTGGGCCAATTGTGCGCCGCCCATGAGTCTCCCGGTCGCGGCCGGCTGCGACAGAGCCTGGATACGAACCAGGATCTAGTGGCACAGTTAGCACTGCGATGCAGTGCCTTAGACCACTGCCCCACTCAGGAGTTTTGAGGCTATACAGCGTTTGTTTTCAGTTAAACAGGCCTATGTTTGGTTCTGATGGGGAAGAACAGTTAAACTAAGCTCAACAAGCATTTATAACTTATTTTCTTCAAGAGTCAATGGGTATACAGTGCTCTGTCGTAGCCGGCCGCGACCGGGAGACGCATGGGGCGGCGCGCAATTGGCCCAGCGTCGTCCAGGGTAGGGGAGGGAATGGCCGGCAGGGATGTAGCTCAGTTGGTAGAGCATGGCGTTTGCAACGCCAGGGTTGTGGGTTCGTTTCCCACAGGGGGTATGAAAAATAATAATGTATGCACTAACTGTAAGTCGCTCTGGATAAGAGCGTCTGCTAAATGACTAAAATGTAAATGTAGTGAAAGTCTACACACCCTTGAACAGTTTTCACATTTGTGATTGACTCCTTTACTGTCCTGCCACACCAGCTCAGGCTCAGGGTGCCAGCCTTCAGATTTACATTTTGAGTATTTGGTGCACGGTAATGGAAGGTGGAGACAGTCCATCAGAGAGGCTGCGGGTGGAGAGAAAGGGTCTGCTGGTAGGGAGACAAACAAGAAGACATGTATTGTAGAGCACATCACTTTACATGGGGTTCAAGTGAGGAATGGAGTAAGCTGGAAACACTCATCATTCAACCTATATTATGTTGTTTTACATGATACTTATAGTTTATTTAGTTTTTTTTTCATAGATTTGCTTTTCAATGAAATAAGAAAACAGCCCTAAACCATTTCCCATGCATTGTCAATGGGGTTTCTAAACCAACCCGGGTGTGATATAAATCGTGCCACTGGTCGGTTTTGTGGCACTAGTCTGATTTCCCATAGGGAACACTGTAAACAGGAAGAGTTGCATATTCGCCCAGCAGCAGTCACTAAGCTAGCAAGCTAAAGTTAGCTAGTGAGTCACATAAATTTACGTTCAGCCTGTTAATTATTTCAGTCCGATTGGACTTATCTCACTAAATCAGCATGGCTTAACATAGTTTATTTTGTTTTTGACCTCGACATTCTTGCTGCATAGATAGTTTTATAACGGCCTATGTGGATGCCTCCATCTAGTTCCCAAGAGCAGCAGACCTTTAAGTCAACTTTGCTTTCGAACTTTGTAATCATCTCTAAAGTTGTTTTACATGCAATCATACTAGCTAGATATATATTTAGTTAAAAAGCCTGTTGATGTCATTGGTTGTTTCTTTGGCGCTAGCTAGCTATGCTATCACTACCTAACTACAGGAGGTGGTTAATGTGGTGTACAGTAGGCTACAGTACCGTTACAGAATTACTGGTTGACAAGTTGGTTGATACGGGGTACATTAGGCTACAGTACAACATTACTAAATGATAA